GCCTGCTTGGCCCTTGTCCCCAAGTGGTTTTTCATAGAATTTGTTGAATTTTTATGCGTATTTATTTCGAGCACTTGAACTAATAACCAAAGCGCGATATCAACTGGGAATGGTATTACTTGAAACTTGACCCACAAAACTTTTAAGAATTGTTTGATAAGAATACGGAAAACATGATTAAATAATCTGGATATAAAGTAATATAAGAGGAACTTAGAGATTTAAATTAAAAGGAAAAAGTGTCCAATTTTCCTAAAAGAGTTTCAATTTTCAAGCAACAAGATTTTCTCATTAATTAGAGGGTTCAAAGTTAACAATATGAAAATTATACGACCACCGGCTGATGCTCCCCCATAGAGCAGTTTCGGGGTCTCTATATGTCCCGAAAAACGAGCACTATAGTTTTGCATAAACCAGAAGGGAGAAAGGACTAAACTAACAATGCGTGAAGAGAATGTGAGAAAAGGTTAATTAATTTATGTCGCACATGCTTAATGCCCATTCGGGGACAGGGACCACGACTGGTAGTTCCCTGACACGTTAATGGACACATCCGACGCTACGACTTTTCGCCTATTTCCACCTATGATTAAAACTAGGCATGTTTGTCCATTTAAGCCCTTAATTTGTGTCGTAAATCACTCCAAAGTCAGCGCCCACCTTTCGCACCTCGAAGGCCCATAGAGTGGGGGGGTTTCTGGAGGGCATTGTTACGCCTATTGGGCTAATGAGTCTAATTGGGGTTGAAAATGGGCCGAAATGTGTAGAAACCCTTTTTTTGAAAGTGTCTTTAGGACATAGATATGGATATGGATATGGCACTGTTACCAGAAGGTGTCATCTTGGCCCATCATTAGCGCCATTTGTTTTGGCCCAGTGGAGTGCTAAAGAGGTCAGAGGAGAGGGGAGAGGCCAGTTTAGAACCGGTTCATTTGCATATCAAAGGCCATAATCAACACCTTGCAACTCATATACTTACAACAACTTTTTATGGGTTTGCAGATGGACAGGCATGAACACGGATGGCATTTGCAACAGCCACATATTGACAAGCTCCATTTGCAACTTCATTTGCATGCCACACACTCTCTTGCCTCGCACCTGACCTCTGCCCTACCCTGGGGGGGTCGTAGGGCGTAATATTATGAGTGCTGCATTAGCGTTAATTGGCTATGCTGCCGGCAAAAGATACAAAAGTATCTGCAGCATTAAACGTGAGAAATCCACACTGAACCGGTTTTAAATCTTTTCCTTTTTATGGAAATTATAGTATTTTCTTCGTTTAGTTGAAATCACTGGAGAGACGCCTCCTGGCAACTCCAGGCCCTACCACTTCTGGGCTGGGAAACGTTTTGGAATTGAAACAGTCTTGAATGTGGCTCCACACTGTCCTTGCCCATCCCCACGCCCCCACACCCAATCGCCCGCCCCCTTTCCACAACTTTTTGCACCAACTGGACGAGGCGAAATTCTTGCAGCTGCGCAGTATGGAAATCCTCTAACTTCCAAGTTGGAACCCCAAACGATTCAGGGCGGAGTCATCGTGGCATTGGCGGGCACCTTTCCTCTGGCTTATATCGGGATTTAGGTGCAAATACCCATACACACCCATACAGATGAAGAGCGTTTTCCCCTTTCCATTTTCCGATTTTCCATAGGAGACCGCCCCTTCCATCAGCGGCAATCCGTTAAATATTTTAATGGCCAACAAAGGCATTTTTCGCAACGAATTTATTATGATTCAAGACAAATATTTGCCAGAGTTTTGGTCTTTAAATGTTTATTCGGAGGATTTTATGGGAGGAGAATAAGGACCGTTTTAATGAGCAGGACTGGAAAATAGGGATATATTTTAGGGAAAAAAGGTTACAATATTAAGTAACTAGTAAAACATAATAAATAAGTGTGAAGGTATTGAATAAGCATTTTAGGAAATAAATTGTTTATATTTTATAAACAATATAACAAGTATCTTTAATTTTGAAAGATTTTGTGTTCAATATTGAATGATATATGTATGTAGGTCTACTCTCTATATGATTAAGCATTTTTTTATGAAAGTATTATTCCCCATATGTCGATATAATCGAGTGACCCAGAAACCCCCCTGAAACCTCAAAGATTCCTTTAACTGTTATTGCCAAGTTAACTTTTGTTTACCCAAAACAAAAAACTATATCTACTATACGGTCTTTTTATTTCTTCCAGCTGATAACTCGAAGACATAACCATTTGATGTTTTGTAATGGCTGTCGGGGAAACTTTCAAGTGTCAGAAAACAACGATTATTGGCCCAGAGACCAGGCCATGGCAGGCCAGTAGAAGAAGGTCCATTCTTTTTTACGATGGCCATACTGCGGTGTGAATGTGGCTCACATATGTTGTCCTGATTGTGGGTAATTGTCATGTAATAAAAGCCATCAACCAGCTCCGCATCTTGCAGCCTTTAGTGGATGATGAGGCCATTCGTAGTCGCAACCCCCAGAAGTCTAGATGACAACTATTTGAGTCAGCAGATTTTTCAAAAAAGATTTTTTCACTGTGGAGTGGGTGGGTGAGCATATATGGGGACGACCCTGTTTATCTGCCCACTCTCTCACCTGTGTAATTATTTCGGACCTTAACCCACTCGTAAATTATGTGTGATCCCTATAGCTAATAGGTAATTTATGTCCTGACCGCAAAAACAAACCAACACACACCTAAAAAAAAGGACAAAGTTTTCCCACAAAACACGGAGTGGAAGTGAAACAAATGTCCACGGATTTGGTGTCCATTAGCCTTTGGGTTGGAATGCCATCTTGCTGACCAAAAAAAAAAAGAGATATTATATGGTACCCACATCAGGTCCTTTTTGCAATCTAATTACAATGGCCTTGGGCAAATGATACCCCAAGAATCTTGCCCCTTTTTTTTATCAGAAAAGCCTCCCTTATGTTGGGGTGCTCAAGTTGTACAACTTTAAAGTCACTTTAAATAATCCATTAGCAATGGCTGCGTAGACAACAAAAAATGGGAGTAAGAGACTTAAAAGCTAAAACCTGTTGAGTTACATCTCAATTCCCCAAACACTTGGCTAACTAAAAAGCCAAAGGAACACCCGTCAAACCCCCCAAATCCTTACCCCTTTTTGGCTGAGAATTCACTTTGTCTTGGCGGCACAGATTATGGCTGCTTTGAATAACAATCGATGGCGCGACATTGATGGAGAATCGAGAATCCTCGAGTAAAAGCATCCTTTGTCCTGCTCCTCCTAGTCCTGGCATTTTATTACCGTCTGGAGTGGCTGCCACCGAAAAGCCATAAATGCTTTTTGTCATTTCGAATATCGATGGCAAAGTGAATTTTTACGATGGAAATACAGTGTCTGTTTGGGTTTGACTCGATCTTAGATTTTGGCGAATAAAAAATCGTGTGACCCCTTTAGCTACACGATCATTAACATAATCATCATCACCATCACCATCACCATCGGAGATTGGCCGATTTGTTCTAGGTTGATTGATGGAGTTATTCAATCGACGCAGACTGGGTCAATGAATTCTCATTAAACCAATTTCGATGTGCATATTAATGAGCTACACGAAAGCGTTCACAGGTGACATAATCAACACCGAACATGTCACAAATTATTAACTTGTTTGAAATATATCTCCGGCACTTCATCTACTGCACAGCATTACTGTCAAAAAATCGTATTCGCCACTTCAATTATAAGATTATAATCCACATAAAAGCTAACCTTGTTCGGCGAATTATTGAACTTTATGTTCCTGCTCTGAAATCTCATGTTTAGCTACTTGTCGAGTTCTAAGATCCACAAAAAGAAAAAACCAGAAACCACAAACTAGGAACAACATTGAGTCATCGGCTTTATGACTTCCATATCTCTTCCCATCTGAATACAATTGAATTATAATTATTTTGCTGGCAAGAGTTTATTTATTTTTAAACCCCGGGTACTTATTCGATTTGTGCACACGCCGAGTGCCCAACAATGTGCAGTGTCTGCGACTTTGACAATTATCATAAATAATTCCATTACAATGATTAGTAATGCACGTCTAATGATGGCCGTTAAAAATTGATTAATTATGTTTCTTAACTATTGGATACTCTTTATTGGTTTTAGATTTATTATTTTAAGGCAAAGAGTGTAGGCCTTGGAGCGATACAAAATAATTTTAAAAGTAAAAAGTATTACCTCTTTTAATCAATCATTCAGAGACGGATAATTTATACTTTAAAGACTAATTACACGGTTAATAAAAGTAAGATTACCTTGCTCAAAAAAGATAAAAACCAATTGTGTTTGTTTTCTTATCCAATTGATCAAGAAATTGGCAAACTACTGGATGCTCTATTAAGCCATTAATTGAGCAAAATAAAACCAATGAAATTGAATCAGATTTTAACCAGTAGATCCTCATGAACATATGAAACTATTTATGTAGTCACTTAATTTATGTATAAATTTTGGATAGTTCATAGTTGATTTCATTAGGACCAAAAGTACGCAAAGTACTTACACCTCTTGTTGGATAAAAATATCTAAATGCATCTTTAAATTGGTAGAAAACAAATAGTCAGGAAATTAATCAATGAGGTAATCAGCGAGAAGCCACCGCCAATTAGTCACAAAAATCAATTGAAAAATATCTACCATACCCCGACCCACTGTGCAGGGACTCCAATGGGTGAATTAAGGGGGGAATTATGAGGGAATAGAGCGGGAATCGTAGACGGATTGACAAAAGACGAAACAAAACTAACAAATTTTCGGCTCATTATTTGTTCTGGCTTCTCCGCAACAGAAAAAAAAGCGCGAACACAAAAAAATACCAAAACACTTCATTATAAACAGATCGTGATGTCTGAGGGGAGATTTGCGGAGTAGGGGCTTATACCTTGAGGTGCGGGAATCCAGGTGTTAGGGGAGGTGATCACCCAGCTCATAAGCTTACACCGATCGCTGGCAGCAAGCGTTTTCAGTCGTCAAACGGCAGCATCCAACACAAGTCGCAGGTTGCGGAACCCCCAGAAGCTCTAGTCATCAAAAAAACAACATTGTTTACCTCGGCGATCTTACAAGATGTTCAGCACTCATCGGCTTATGGTAATTGTGATGGATCGCCCACATTCAATCGGGCCAAAAAGCGAATAAAGTTGCCAATTGAATTCTTATAACATTACGTTAAAATAAAGTCTGTTTAAAAGACGAGCCAAAGGAGGATCTTTAATTCCTAAGATTGCAATAGTTTCTTACCAACATTAAAGTCCTTAGATCCTTAGATTAAAGTGCTAATAAGTGTAACTTCAACTTACTAACTCCTCCTCTATTTAAAAAAAAAACAAATCCAGCTATCCTGCTTCTACCTGGTCGTCCTGCTAAGCGTATCCCTGGCCATTGAGGACGCCCCTACCGACATCGAGGAGGATGTTATCAAGATTCAGAATGAAACACAAAAGGTGATCCGAGTGCATCCGCACGACTTACCGCCCAAAAAGGACAACACCGGCAACCAAATGAACTCGGCCCTGTTCCAAATCCAAACCCTTCGTCCTGGTAGTGCCGGTGTGTCAAGCACTGGATCGCCACGCCAGTATGTGGACTCGAAGCAGATGCGCAAACGTCGCCCCCGGCCAGCCAAGCTCCTGCGCGAAGATGTGGTCGCCAGTGGTGAAGATGCGACGCAGCCCGCTATGAAATACCCACTAAAAGCCTTTCCCAAGCAGAAACTGAAGCAGCAGAAGGAGCTCAAGTTCGATCCTAGCGGGGACGGTGTTGCCCAGGGGGAGGAGACCCAAGTATTGCCCGTCCAGATGACACCCGGACCATATCCCGTGTACTATGTGGTGTCCAAGACGAACGGTCGCTTCGGCAAGTTCCCCATCAAGTCGTTCGGCTCGCCGGCGGAGTTCTCCAAGTATCTGGTGAAGAGCAAGGCGGAGCCCATCACCCGGAGCCAGCGATTCGAGGTGATCTTGTGATCTTCCACTTAGTCAAAATCTAAATTATTGTCCCCCCTCCCCCCACTCTCCTTAATCGTTAGTCGTAATTATAATCATAAATGCTAATTGCTAATTGCTTAATGCTTAATGCCTAATGCCGTAATAAACCTTATGTCTAACTTTAGCCAAAAAAGAAATGAAAGAAATACCCGAAAAATCCGTTTGAGTCATAAGTCTAAAAATTCTGATCTATGATCTGTGGTCTCCCCCTTAATTGTTTTCGGGGGGCTTTTCGGGTTTCGGTAATTACATGGAATCTATCTTCATCTGTGACTCCATCCGTGGAGTTGGTTAACTGTTTTTGGTAGCTGTTAACTGGCCTTGTCATATGCTAATTTCCTGGCGAATCGAATAATTAAGCATCGCAAAACCCATAACTATTGTCTAGCATTTACATACATACTGCGCGCCAGCAACAATAGATACAAAGATACAAAGATGCGCAGATACATTTGATTTATGGCATTCCCCATTTCGTCGGCTTTCTTGCGAATATCATTCCAAGTGTCGTTTGCCTTTGTCTTTTCCTCTCAGCTCTTTTGTTGGCCATTCTTGGCCAGCTTTCTTCCGAAGACGTAGAACTTTCTCCTGGCCTAATATGGTCTGCAGAATAGTTCTTTAGATAGTGGGGATAGGGATTTATTTTTTGACTCCTTTAAGTCTGTCATATATAAATTATGAATAATGAAACACTTGTAATTAGCAGATTACTCCACAGAAACTGTCAGATACTTTCCACTCGACTCCACAAATCAAAGACAAACCAATGAAGGTTGGCAAGTAATAATTGAGGTTTTTATGGCACACATGTATCTCAGGGTTGGTGTGTATCTCTAAGCCTGGTTAATCAACCTGGCCCTGCCCCAACCACCGGCCCGATCCCCGCCAGCCGCCACCAAATGACTGCATTTCCCATTATTTTTGCTCATTTCGACTCCGGCGAATGTGTAATGAACTTTTGTGGGCATGACGAGAACGCTGAACAAAGTGTGATATCGAAATTTCCCAAAGGATTCAACGCCATATTTTTCGCCAGCCACGAAAAAGATTGCTTTCTTTTGCTCCGTCTCTCTCTGGCTCTGGCTGTGCGTGAAAAATTAAAGGAAAAATCAGAAGGAAAACTCCCCAAAAGAAAGTCTTGAAGCACAACAACTAGCAAGCTCAACTTTTCCGGGACTCGTATAATCAAGCGTAAAAATGCGAAATTAATCAACTTCCGAGCCAACGTCTCAAGTTAACAACGCACAAGGAATTGAATTAAAACTTTTTTTCTCTGTCGTCCCCCCATGGAACCCTCCTCTGGATGGGTTCACCCCTTTTCCCCCGGCTCTGGCCGTTCGGGTTATTCAATTATGTATTTGCGCTTGTCCTGCAGTAAAAAATTACAATCCACAGGACAAGTCAACAGAATTATGAACACGCCTGGGCAGTAAAAAAAGTAAATAAAATTCCAACTCCACCAAAAAAGGTACAACAAAAAAATCCAAGGATACATATATATGTTTCAAACTTTTCTCGGCGACAGAAATAAAATTTTTTCCATGATTTTTTCCTGTTCTTCCACGGGTTTTTCGGGTGAGTTTCTTTTCTGCGGTAATTGCAACGTCTCGGTGTCCTCGGGGAAATGTGAAACAATAAATGAAAATAAATGAATTTTTGTTAGCCCAATGGCCAGCCAATAGCTAGAGGGCCCATACAGCCCATCGAAAAAAAATGTAAAAAATTTCATTAATTTCCAGCTTGGCGGCTAACCGCCAACTTGATGTCTTAACTTCATTTGGCTGAAACGTTTGCCCAGCGAATGACATTTGACAGTCAAGCTCGAAGTTCGAACTGCTCACGGATTCAGGACCATGGACTAAGGTCCTCGAAGTAGTAGCAGCAGTCGAAAGCCATTTGATCAAAAATTAATGTGTAGTTTGGAACATTCTGTCACATTATACGCGTGTCAGACGGTTTAAAGGGTTACAAATTGGGCGGCCAAAGACAACAAGGTGAGGTGGCGGGGCTGGGTTGCAGGTCGATGCTGGGGGTGGAAATTGTCAAGGAAAGTCACCAGCACCTTGGTAAGATAGAAAATTTAAGCCAAACCAACTGAAGTAAAATAACATTTCAGATACAGTGAGGAGATTTTGTACAACATATAGTTTTGATCAAGGGCCACAGCTCTCTTTTAACTCCAGAATTCTTCAATAAAATCTAATAATTTCTTTAAAAAACTGAGAATTAGTCCGCATAGGCATTGCTGCTGCATTGGCATCGCCGCCAACTTTCGGGCCCATAAAAAACGCTGCCCTCATGTCCTCGAGACGTTGTTACTGACAGGCCAGGAAGCAGGACCTGGAATACAAACTTTCCGCAAGGCACGCCAAATAAATGGAAAAAAAAAACCAAAAAGGTGACCCCAGCAGGCCAAGATCTGCAGAGGGGTGGACCAAAAGGAGCACAGGCTGGCCGAGAACGACGCTGCTTAAATATTAATGCCTCGAGAGTCTGTGGGGCAGGCCATGAATAAATTTTTGGCTATGAATTTTCAATTGCAAGCATCGCCCCCTTAAACTTTGTCCGTTTGCAATTTAATCCACGACTTTAAGAGTGTCAACCGGCGGCAGGTGAGCAGAATTCCAGGTGCGATTAGGTGTCAGGTGAGTCACCGCAGCCAAACCGCAAAGGTAAAGCCAGGAACTAGACCAAAATTCAACCGGAAAAAGGTTAAAACAGTATTGAATACGTTTCGATTTTTACTTCCGTTTCCTGTGGCAGTGAAAATGGCGACCCCAAAAATTCAACTCCCAATGCGTGGGAACTTTACGATCCTGGCCAGGCCAAAATATGGAGTGGGCGGAGGAGCAGGGCGGGGAACGTGCGTATGGCGCCAATTGCCAAATGACCGCAAAAACTCAGAGGTCGAGTACCAGGCCATAGATGGCCCAATAAATGCTATTTGATTATACACAGCAACAAAATTAACTAACGTTTTCATAAATTAAAATAGTTACTTTAATTTTAAATCCTAAATACCAAAAATAATCAAAAAGGTTTATCAAAATTATGTTTCTTGCAAATAATAATATTTTTTTATGGATTTTCTCTCTGTGCTGGTTTGGGGACTTAATCAAAAACCGAACTCCAGGCGGAAGGGCTCTACTTATTCCCCCAATTCGCCACCAAAACCTCCGGATCACCCATCACGAACCCGAACTGACATTGCCCACTGATTTTATTTGCTCATCCGGAGCACTTTATGAAGCTTTTATTTGATTTTTATGCCAGCCGCTATTTCCATTTCTGTAATTGAATTGTCATTGTCCGGACGCAGCACGCAGCTATCCACTGACCAGCTGGACTGGTGTTGGGCTTTCATCCTTTTTGGGCTGGTTATCCTTGTGGTTCTGGTTGGTCAGCCTTGACGCCGCCAGTCCACCCGTTCGATTTGTATGTCGGAGCATGTCAAAAACGGTTTTGCGCTTGATTGGCGCTCGGACTCCCGGACAAACACCCAAAGGTATACAAAAAAGACGGACTCCGGACATGGGCAAGGGCCAGGACACGTCCAGGAGCAAAAAAAAAGGGTTGCGGTCACAAAGTTTTCGCCCCAAGGCCATAGAATTGGTATGAAAGTTACAAGTTGGAAGTGTCCATTCATTGGCAAATTGTCGCAATTGATGTGTTTGGATGGGCGGATGGGCCAGGATTCAAGGTGGTTGTGTGGTTGGGTGGTGGCTTTGTGGGTGATGTGCTAAATTGTCACAACAGAGAAGTGAGCAAATAAAAGTGACAGAGCAATTTCAAGTTTTTGGTTGGCAGGAGAAAGTGTTTTCTATTTGGAGAATACTCGAGACACCTGCTGAGGTTACGTCTATAAAAAGAGAGCCCTGGACGGTCTTAAAAAACAGAGATTTTTGTGACGAAAATGGTTAAGAACGGCTTAGCTTTAAAGCTGAAAAAAACAGTACAAAAAACCTATTTCAATTGACTCTTTAACTCTTTCTAATTTGGTTCAACTAACCCCCCTCATGTTCCATATATCATTTTAAATATAAGCCCATTCTACCTCCCACTTCTAACAAAAATATATTCCCCCCTCAAGACACCTGTTAAAAAATGCAAACTCACTTTTGCACACTCTTCGATGCCCATTTCGAGGACAATTTGAGCAGTTTTCATATTTAAAATTCCCAAAATGGTGCTACGTGAGATAATAATCGTTACATTTAATGGGTTGCCAGGTCCTGGCCTCTAGATATATGTATTTCGCATTCGAGATACTTTCGACACCAAGCAATTTTCGCTGCATAAAAACAGGCAATGCTCACAACCCACTCCAGCCAATCCATTTCTCGAGGAGATAAATTTTGAAAGAAAAAGGGGTTTCTTGTGCCGAGTTTTGGGCCAACTGTTGGGCAAAGTTGGCAACAACCCCGGGGCTGTTGAACTTCCGCCGGATGTGCCATTAGCCGGTGCTGATCCAGTGGCAATCGGCACAAAACATAATGGCATAATCGAATGATAATTTAATAAGACCCAAACGGTGACGTCAACATTTGAATTGTGGCCGTTTAATTGAATCCTCGCCGTTGTGCTCCATTTCCTTCCATGCTTCTTAACTCCTTGAAGATCCTGGTGTCGTTGTAGGTGGAGACACGGAGTCGGAATGGATTGGATTGTGTTATTCATATCGATGTGTGTGCATAATCAGAATGAATGTTCACCGGGGGAATTGCTGAGTTGTGAGAGGTGGTTGAGACATGGAAGTACATACATATGACCTCCTGTTCGAGCAATTCGTTCCGACAACTCCTGGTTTACGTGCTTTCCCCTTGTTCTTCACCGGCCAACGTAATTCAATTTGCATGCACTCATGAATAATGCAACCAGGAAAATATCCAAATAATTCTAATGGACTTTGGCTAAAATATTTATAAAACAAACATCAATGAAAACGAAAGAATGCAGGGTCACCAGAGTGGATATTGAAGAAGGGATTAATACAGAATCATGGTTGCAAGTACTCAGCCCTAAAGGATACTTAATCAAGCGAAGACTTTAAATTACAAAAATACAAATATCCGGTTTGAGGCAAATATTTGCGGAGCAAGACCTCCACGAATCCAAGTGAGAGTCTCCTGTCAAGTGCGGCTTGTCCTTAATGTCTTGGCAAACACCAGTATTCAAATAGGCGGGATGCTTGTGGCTAGCCAGGAAATTGGCCAACTCTGGACCCGGCCAGAAAGCCCATCTAACCGAGAGAAAAGGAAAGCAGCCCAGGACCGAATTGGCTGCCCGATCCTGTATATTAAAAATAATATGCAAAGTGCGGGGACCTGTTGAGATTTTCACAATTCCCAGAACAAATAACATATTCACATATTGTTGTGCGAACGCCGGCTCCTCCTCCTGCATCCTCCTGGCTGTCTGTCTGTGTCCTGTTTGGTCCTTTCTTTCTATGTTTGCATGGGGTGGGTGGGTGTCTGTTTTGGGCTGGGGTTTTCGGTTTGTGTTTTTCTTTTGTTTGTGGGGGTCTGCTTATGATTTATCATCGCCGACACCAAAGTTATTTCTTGAAGATTAAAACAAGGAGCGCTGCTTTTAGCCACCATCCTCCATGCCTCGTCCTTCGTCCTGTTCATTTACCTAATGTGACAACTTTAATTTGGCTCCAGCCAGCCAAGAAATTCCGTTAAGTGGCTTTCATATTTAACATTTTGATGCGGATATGGGGCGATCTGGGGTTGTGGCATTCGACATGAATTTGAGGAAAGTTTTCCGCTGGAAATTCTAGTTTTGGCAATTCAAACAGAAACCGAAACTTTCCCCGCTTCCGAACTCTCTAATCCCATTTGGTTTCCAAAGTTTCTGGGATGGCAAAGTTACTTGTGTGTGTTCTCTGGTCCTGGAACTAAATAAATTAGCCAAAGGCTCTGGCTGCGACTCCAAGAACTTCTCTTACTCCAACTTCCAACTCCAGGAGACCGCAAGCCACACACATTATTAATAATATTTATGATTGAGTGACTGGGCGGTGGCTTGCATCAGAGGGGATGGTGCACCATTTTGGTTGAACGATATGGGTTCTTATATCAACCGCCAAAAACCTATTAAAGATTTTAGCAGAATGAGAATGGATAGTTGACCAGGTTCCAGAAATATTTGATGCTAATGACCAAGTTCAAGTTTGGCAAGTTTTAGTTAAAAGATTGGAGTTTTCAAAAGTAGCTTCTTCAAATCGAATTTCATCCTTGGTTCCATTCCATTTACTTTCAAGCTCTTATCAGTTCTTCTAGCTGGAAATCTAAGAAAGCTTGTCAATGGAAATCCTGAAAAAAATCCATTGTCTGCTTTTCAGGAGCTCCTATGGCCTGAAAAGTATCTGAAGCTGGGTTCATCTTTATATGCATGTTCGCACATCCATTAATCCGTTCCCGTAACAACAAAAAAAAAAACGAATGGGGAACTGGTGGGTATAAAGGTGGGGACCCCGAATGAACCCGAATGCAGTCACTGGGGAACGAAGGAATTTATGGTATAAAAAATGGATTTGCGATGTTTTCGCTGTGCAAATTAAATTTATTGCCGCGGATACTTATCCGTGGGCCCATTGTTCGTCCGGAAACGTTAGCTACACGTATGCTTACCGTATGTGTGGGTGTGAGGGTTCGGAAGGTCCTGAATCCGCCCACAAATTTATTCGCGGCTTTTCGTGGTGCCTTCCCCGTTTAACAAATGGAAATGGAAAATTATGAAGCAACGTGCCCGGAACTGTAAACATCCTACTGTTGCGTTTTTTATCCCTCGGCTACTGTGCCCACATAATAAATGTACCTGCCTAAGTGAACGCAGTAAAAAATTGAAAATTAAAAAAGCAGGAAACAGACAGTTGCACGCTCTTTTGAGTCCCCCTTGGATTTGCTGCACTTGCCTTGACAATGGCACAACCACCCAAAAAACCACCCACCCACAAGCCACCTCCCACCCACCGCCGCAGACTAAACGGAATAAGCGTTAATGCTTCGTTTGAATGAATTTTTGATTGCGTTGTTTACGATTGAATTTACTTCCTGGCAGGGAATTATTTCTGTTTTGTTAGCTTGTTTTTTTTTTGTTCAGGATTCCGGGTGGGGAGTAAGCATAAATTTCGCGAAACTCCAAACTCCGGCGGAATGTTGCTTTGCGAAATCCGTGCTAAATTTTTTATGTACGCCATGTTTGAAGTTAAATGTTGTTTACAGCTTACCAACCTCTCCAAGGAGAGTTTTCCACTCCTGATCTGAGATAATGCAAATGGCACAAAGGAAATAGTCAGTGGGGTGTGGCAATCGTGCTAAACACTCTTCAGATTTAATAAACATTAAGGTCGAATGTGGATAATAAGATTAAATAGGCGATAAATTCCGATAGGCTTTCAATAGCCAGAATATATATTTTAGAGACTGACATCTTAAAGTTTTCAATTTCAAAAAATATAATCCAAAACTGATGATTGGAAATCAACGACATAATCTAGTTACCAACTCCCCAAACACACCTACTTGGTATTATCCGCCTACTGGCCAACGTAACGTGAAACCAATTAATCTCTATCAATGCCCGGTCTTTGCAGGCTCAGGCTCAAGGATCAAGTGACAAGACATCGACTGGCTTAACGGACAATCCGTGAAGTGGCTGAGCATCGGACAGAGGGGATGGTGAAGGATCTGAGATGGAGACGGGGCCTGACGTCTACGACTCCCTGGAGTGCAATCGGAAATGGACGCCAATGAAACAAATGCAGGCACGTAAAAAAGTCAAAGACCACGGACCGGCAAAGGTTGATAAGTATGCCCACTCATCCATCCCCCTCCGAATTATCGCATTTCCGTAGAACTTCCCAATTGTGCAACGCGTGGTATGAGTAATGAGAGAAACGGCAGAAAAGGGAAAACGATTTTCCGGTTCAATCAGTTTTGATTTAAATTGCAATTATTAACTTCAGTTAAGCAAATCATTTGTATAAATGGGAAGAATTGGTACCTCTTTAGACAAATAAGGGATAATTTACACAACCCTTATAAAGTTTATAAGCCATTTTAAATAACCAGGCTACTTAAGGTTCCAAGTGTCACTAATGATTAGATAAACAAACTAGGAACTAACTTACGTATTAGATAATGTTAGCCCTAAAAGTATGTCTAAAAATAAACCTACAACCTTTATTTATCCTTGCTCAGGTGACTAACTTATTTATTTAATTTTGGTTTTGAAAACTTTTCCCAGACAGTAGCTAAATGGTTCTAGCTTCCGTGGGATTAAAAATGTACTTTTATCTTAAAAATCGTTGCCACGCACTCTTCAAGTGTTCACCTTACCCCCCAAACATCTTTTGAAATTGTTATAATGCTCAGTAAATTATCATAAATCATATTTTTAAAATTTTTATATTTTATATTATATTTGACTAAAAGCACACACTGGACAAACATTGAATCTCGGGGAGAGGAAGAGCCCTAATCGTACATTTTAAAAGGTAAACAAGACACTTAAATCTAGAGGTTGGAGTTGCTAAACTCGCACAAGCCGCTGGCAATTATTTACCCAAAAATATAAGACGATAAGCCATATCAGACGTTGGTCGGCTAGTAGGTGCCATAACTAACACGGCATTATGCCAATAAAGTGGAGTGACGCAGCCCCTTGTCACTATGCATTGCCCTCAGATTTTGTTTTGGTCTCCTTGTCGACCTCGTCGATAGAGGTTTCAGGGTTCAAAGGTTTCTTTTCCTCCTCATCTTCCTTAGTGGCTCCCAAGTTTTGAAGCTCCTTGAGTCCAGGATCGGGCAGTTGGTGGCAGCCACTGTTCCAGGGCTGTAATGTGGACTCAGAGAAGAGCACGTAGATGATTCCACTGCAGGTTAACATGGCGGAGCTTATCAGGAAGACATTCTTCCAGGCCTCCATTGTTTGCTGAAAAAGGATAGTATTTGATGAGAATATATTCTATATTTTGGAAAACACTAATAACTCACATTGTCATTAGTAAGCTGCCCCACAATCAAGGGGGAAATGAAACCAGGCAGACCCCCAATCATGCCACTCACACCCAGGACAATGCCGGCATAATTAGGCGACAGATCCACCATGGAAGCCAAAGGTCCCGAGGACACGGCGCCATGGAACATGGTGGCCACAGTCACCAGCACGATGGCAGCAGTGGCATTGTAACCAAAGTAAGCCAAAGCCAAGACAACCAGACCCTTGACACCACAGCCTGAAAAAGAAGAGGATACTTAATATCCTTACGGTTTCTGGTAAAACCCTATCTTACACGTGAAGGTGGCCAGTTTCCGGACATTTGTGCGACTCAGGCGATCCGTACGGAGCAGATAGTCGGCAAACATGGAGAAGACATAGGCGAAGAGCATCCTCATAAGATGTGGCAATCCCGACAAGAATCCCGTCTGGTAAATTACATTATTTCTTATAAAATATAACCATAAATAAAGTTTTTACAAAATATCACTTACCGCTCGGATGTTCCAGTGATGGATGAGTCTGAAATAGGTCGGTGCGTGGGTCATCAAAGTAAAGAGACCCCAGATACCGCCCCACTGAGCCACCACATTGCACCATACCGGGAGCGAAGTGGCAATCTCCTTCCAGGGGGTAGGACCAGGACTGGAATTCTGAACGGAAGCTCCCAAGGACTTTTCGATGTAACGCCTCTCGGAATCAGCAATGCGAGGATGCTCGGCAGGACTGTCGAAAACAAGATACTGCCAGGCAATAAACCAGAGAGTGCCCACTATGCCGCAGATATAGTACACCCACTCCCAGCTGGTCCAGTCGATGATGTAACCAAAGATCGGATAAAACAAAGCCACGCCAACCGAGCTACCCAAGTATGCGCTCACGAACTTGCTTCTCTCGTTGGGTGGGATCCATTTGGCAGTGAGAACGTGCATCGATGGCCAGGCCAGACCCTGGAATAATCATTTCATGACTTTCTGAAACACTTTAGGAATATTTTTCTTACCGTTATCCAGCCCTGGAAGACACGAAGAGCTATCAATCCCGTATAACTCCAGTAGGAGACAATCGGTATCAAAAAGCAACAAAAGACACCAATGCCATTGGCCCAGCCGAAAATCAACTTGGTGCCATACTTGGTGGCCAAGATCCCACCAGGAATCTGCAGGGTCCAGTGAGCCCAGAAAAAGGATCCGAGCAGTGCACCCTGCTGCTTCCCAGTCCACTGGAAGCCCTCCTTCTCGTACGGAATCTGCGAGAGATGACGAAGATAACATTACTCATACGCCCTGTAGTGTGTCGCTTGCTGGATCGTTCAGTGGCTTTATTAAGCACTTAACCAGTGCCAGTGAATCAGTATTACGTATACTCACATTTGCCCAGTCCAAAAACCAGCGCTCCAGCGAGAATGATCTCTCTGTGATCTCCGGAAGAGCAGCCAATGCAGAGGAGTTCGCCAGGGAAGCATTAGCAGCAGCTGGTGCACCGTGGCCCACAATCATGTCCACAATGGTGATGTTCAGATTGATCCGGATCATGTAGTTCACAATGAAACCCATGAACGTCATGTACCAGAGCACTGTGCGGGCTGTGACTGGAAGATCAAACCGAAATACAAATGAAATGTGAAGCCACATCAAAGGCAGCTCAGCTGTGGTTGCTTTGGACTGAAGATCTTGAGCTAGATCTTGGATCTTTGATGATCTTGATCGTGGCCACATGAACTTCACACAAGAAACTTGTCATACCTTCGGCCATGGTGAAGGTTTCTTTTTTGGAGACGGCTCAGGAAACTGGGTATATCCGTCCGACGAGAACCAACTGCTGCGGACCGCAGCCGGAATAGAATGCCAGACCGGGTCGGCTTCCAGACGTTCCGTATCCGAGCAGCGCACGCAACTGATAAGCGCCACTGATCTCGCGGATTATGCTGCAACTCGGCTCGTGATCGCTCATCAACTTCAACCAGCCAGCATGCGACGCCCGAAGAGACGACGATCTGCCCCCGCTTCAGATAAAATTCGCATTTAAGCAGCCCGGATCAGTCAGCTGTTTGGAGGCAATCTTTATGGCATGGCGTGCTCCCTGTTGGCTAAGATATCTCGTAAGATATTCCAGGAGACATTTTAATGGAAGGCAATTTACAATATAGCTAAAGTCCCAAAACGAAAACAAAAACATTTCGAAGCAATAAAGAATATCCAACCAAGAGTAGAACTCAACCTTTTCAGGTTCAGTTTCTTATAAATGAAGACCCAGTGGTATTCTTAAACAATGTTTAATAATACAATTACATATATTTGTGTATTTTTACACCGATAAATTCACGTATCGCGATCTATTGAGAACTTGAGTCACAGTTGCCTGCATTGCTATTGCCACGGAAACATTTACATGAGGATCATTTCGTAGACTATCTACAAAGTATGCTTTTATCTCCGAAAATGTATCGTCTGAGCTACAAAACACCTTGGCCAGTGAGCGAGAGTGTGCTTAGGAATATGCTAGCATACGTATATTGATTTCTCACTGGGAAGTTAACAGTGATGCGAATCTGCCGTCGTGGGCGACACCGTCACAGGGCGTGGTGCTCCACAAGTGGCTTCCCACAGACGGCTCAGTACTCATCCGACATTCTCGTAGGACATCGCAGGCCTTTCGCTGGCTGTTGATCCAAAGATCGTGGGCGGGTGATGTTGCTGAGCTTGTTGCTGTTGCTGCTGCTGGTGAGGATGTTGTTGTTGCTGCTGGTGGGGATTGTGAGCGTGCTGGTGCTGCTGGGCCGGCGGTTGTTCATTGCGGAGCTGGCTTAGCGGGAACATTATGTTGTGGGTCATCTGTGGGTGGTGCAGGTGTTGCTCGTTTGGCGGTGGAGGTGGCGGTTGCTGGTGGGTGGCATGGTGGGCTTGCGCAGCTTCAACGTGCTTGCGCTGTTCGCTTTGCTGCTGCTGGTGGACTTTGTCCACGGCACTCTCCTCGTACTTCTTTTGCAGCTGGAAGATCGGTAGCTGCTGAGCGCCGTGCAGAGGAACAGCAACGGATCCGGCAGCTGCCACCCGCTCCACCTGCGATTGTGGGGAGGATTCCCGCTCTCCCTTCTCGTACTTTTTCTGCAGCTGGTACATACTGTGCGAGAGGTGAGCGGTGCTGCTGGAGCTCTGCTTAGAGGAGGTAGTTGTGGCAGAGACTGCGGACTTTTCCGCCTTCACGGGTGACTTCTTCTGATACTTCTTGAGGATTTGCATTAGTTCGGACTTAACGTCGAGGCGTATTTCTTCCGGCACTCTTTTAATCTCTTCGTAAAGGGAAAGCAGGAACAGCTTGTCCGGATCTCTGTTCTTCCGTTTCTTACTCTTTTTGGGAAAAGCGTCCTGCATGAACTGCAGTAGCTTTTCTTCGAAAGGCGACTCCCGCGGCACCGATCCACTTCCATGTTGGCGTCTCAACAGATGAGGATGCAAGCTACTGTGAAAGGCAGGGTGTTGAGGCATTCCCGAATGCGATTGCCCAACTCCGGCGTGCTCGGCACCGCTTCCGTTATGGCCCTGAAGCTGAGCCACTGGTTGTCCTTGATAAGAGCCTCCGTTGGAGGAACCAGGGGCATCGTTTGTCTCTCCATCGTTTGTGTGATGATCTTGCTGGGGCTGTTGCCCAGCGTGTGACTGGGGATCTTTCTGGTGCTGCATATGCTGCTGATGGTGCCCCACCGCCGCTGTCAGAATGGCGTCGCACAGATGCTCCGGGGCGTATTCAAAGCCTGTCATGAAGTTTTCCGGTTTTAGCTCTCCGTTCATCTCCTCGTAAAAGTACTCGGTACCCACGATGTCGATGATGTCGTTGTCCTCCTGGTTAAGCTCTATTCCTGGTGGTGGCGATCCTCCTGAGAGCTGTCCACGCTTTAGCTCCGCCAGCTTTTTTCGGGTGGTCAATCGCATATCTCTCCAGCACTAAAATAATGTTATTTTTTTAAGAATTGGAACTTGAATGAGCAGTAAACATACCTTTTTCCATTGGATAATCGTTTTTTTGGGGCCGATGGTGTTAAGTGCCGCCTGGATCTTCTCCCAGTACCACTCCTTCTCCTTTTTCCCCTCCATGTACTTGGTCTCCCGCAGCAGGGTGATGAGCATCTTCTTCTGAGGCTTGGTAACTCGATCCTAGAAGGTAATTATGAAGTTAGATAAGCTTTCATGGTCAAAGATGTTTATACCAAGGAGGCGTATGGGAAAAATAAACCAAATGCTACCACAATGCGTTCACAACTAGGGTTTCTATTCAAACCTTCTGTTTATTTACTATTTACCCGGCTAAAAATCTTAATTGTTGCTATTGTTTATTGAAATCCCAATGGTGTCTACCATTTTTTGCTGCACCCCCACACAAGAACAAACACATACACACGGGTATGGGCTTATAGAGGACCAATGAACCCCCCTCCAGTGTTTATCGGACTCCCAATTACCATGGTCAGCCTTTGGAGGTATCTGTACTGGCTCGAAATCTTGATGGTGGCTTCTATAGCTCTATATTTTAAGGATTTATTGCACTTTGTTTAATTTTTCATTGCTGCCTCCTCTTATGATGCTTCTTCTTCTTGTTGCGTTCGTGTGACCGTTCGACGGTGTCTGTTGAAAATCAGCTGATTGGCGTTCCGTTACGAAATTTGTTTTGAAACTGAAACGGTTATGTTCATACTACCACTAACCATACAGCATATAGACAACCCATTTCATACAATGGTTATGCTGTATGGTTAGTGATACTACGAACATAAATAGTATGAATGAATTGAATAAATGCACTTTTATACAAACAAAAATATGTTTATTTGAATAGAGAATTTTTCAAAAATTTAATACTTCATTTATTAGATTACATTGAATGAAACGAAAAAAAAGAAAATGAGATTCACCGCCTGTGTGAAGCAGCTTGCCGGCTGACTTGCCGAGTGATGGTGGACACCCCCTCCTCAAACAAGGTGCGGAACAAAACGTTCGCATGGTTGAACAGGCCATCTTTAAGGGACACTATCAAAAATTGAGAGTTGGTAAAGTGCTGCTTCAACATGCTGCCTATGTTCTGGGTATGCGACATGTCCAGAGCGGCGTCCACCTCGTCCAAAATGTATAAGGGCGCCGGCGAGAACTTTAACATGGCCAGGATGAGAGACAACGCCACCAGGGACTTCTGACCACCAGACAGTTCACCCAGACTTTCTTTCCAGGTGCCGTTGAAGCCCACTTTGATCTCCAGACCGGTGAGATAGCCATTCGTCTTAACCGGATTCAGTTTCGCATCGGCTCCCGGAAGAAGTGAGCTGAAGATGCCACTAAAGTTCTTGTTTACTTCGGTGGCAGCCTTATTCAGTTGATCCTGCTCCTCCTCGTCCATTTTAACTATGATCTTTTTTATCTTCTCCTTGTCCATGGCAACGATCGTGCGCCGACGTTCAGTCTCCTTGAAGTTCTCCTCTTCACGATCCAGCACCATGATGGCGTTCATGTTCAGTGTTCGTTCCATTTTGTCCTTTTTCTCCTGCATCTGCACCAGCTTGTTGCCGGCTTCCACTGGATCCTCTTTGCTGTAGTCATAGCGTGTGTTTTTCATGCCGAAGTATTTCTTTTCCTCGGGTATCCAGGGATACTTTTTCTCCAGCGCCTCCATGCGCTTCTTGGCTTCCTTGGCCTCCGAGCTAATCTTGTTTTTCTCGTTCTCCCTCTTCTTCACCTCCAACTCGATTTCTTGATTTTGCTTCAGCATCTTTTCCTTCTTGACCAGCATGTTTCGCATCTCTTTGTTTTGGGCGTTTAGCTTGTCCTTCTGCTCCTTAATTTCCTTTTCTAGTTCTACAACCTCAGAAGCTGCACTGGAACTGTTCTTCTGTAAGGCGTCCAAATCAGCTTTGAACTTCTCCAGGTTGTCCACCATCTCCTGGTGTTGCTGCTTGGCCGTTTCAATAGTCTTCTGCAACTCAGTGATCTCCAGTTGCAACGTTTCGAATTCCTGTTCTCGCTTTTTCCAATTGGCCCGCGACTTCTCCGCTCGCTGCTTGGCTGCCTTTACCTCGTTGGTGGCTGATTTCAGCTCCCGTTCGCGATAGCCCTTTGCATCTGCCAGCTTGGCCTCGATATCCTTGATTTTGGCTTGCGATGTCTTCTGTTTCTCACGTGCATCGACTGCCTGTTGCTCCAAAGTCTTAACCCGCTCTATCATCTCCTCTATTTCCGCCTGATTCTGCTGGAAAGTGGTCTGCGCCAAGCGATTCTTGCACATGGTAAGTTCGTGCTGCCGGAGCTCAAGATTTTCCTTCATCTTGTTATAGGAGTGAGCCAGGTTCTCAATGGACCTAAACAAAGACAGCTATTAGTTGTGGATTGGAAAGGTAAATCCATTTACTTACGCCATTTGTTGTTCCACCTGCATCAACTCCAGTTCTATTTCCTTGTATTCCTTTTCGATTTGACGGATAGAATACAGTTCCTCCAAGACATTATTGCCTTTGGGCGCCGCACCACCGGACACAGTACCATAAGGATCCACCAAATCACCTTCCAAAGTCACAGAACGGCACATGATGCGCGGATCGTAGCTGATTTGCTTGGCAATGTCCAAATCTCTGCAAATGAATATGCTTCCAAAAAGATACTTCATGACAGGATCGAAGAAGCGATCGTAACTAATGAGAGACAAGGCCCACTGGACATTCTCACTGCCAACTTTTTTTTGGGCATAATCCACCACATTCTTGTCCAGACACTTGTACTGAATTTTGTTAATGGGAATCATTGTGACACGTCGCTGCAACTGTCCTTTCTGCAGAATTTTTTTGCTGGTTCCATCATCGTCCGTCACATAACTGTATAACTGAAATACATGTTTTATTAAAACAAGTTTCTTTTAAGGAATATTGGATGAACTTACCCCACCACCAGCCGCTGTCACCAGAGCCATCGAGTTGCTCATATCGTTGACTTTGAATAGTTTCCCAACCAAACCTCGAACCTTACGCCTATCGAAGTTGGGCTCTGGGTCCTGGTATTGCAGATCGTACCGCGAGGCATTCGATCGGTCCAGTTCCCGCTTCAACTCTCTCTTGCGCATGTGAAGCTCGTTTCGTCGCTCCCTCAGCTGCTCAAACTGTCCGCCCTCATAATTCAGGTTGCTGAATTGCTTTTCAAGGTTCTTTATCTCCGCCAGCAACTGGTCATGCAAAGATTTGTCTTTTGTGTAGGCAGCATCATTAGTCTGGGTCTCGCTTTGTTTTTGCTTCAAAACCCCTCGCGTGTGACGCAATTCCATGTCGGATGTCTTGATGGTAGTCTGAGCTTCGCTGAACTGTTCCTTGGCCGCTGGAATGTCATTAAATAAATATGGTTTCTATAAAAAGATGTGAGAAAACCTACCGATTAGTTGATCTTGCAGAGTGGTAGCCTGGCCATCTTCGTTTGTGGACAAACCCTGCGAGACTGCCTCAAGCTTGCGTTGCGCATCTTCATAGGCCTTGGAATCGGTGGCATCGGCTTGCTTCAGACTCTCAAACTCTCCCTGAACCTTCGACATGTCCGCCTCCTTCTTGGCCAAAGCACGCACATCGTCTTCTATGTTTTTCGCAGCCATGCGAATTTTCTTTTCATCTTGTTGAATGGTTCCTTGAGCTGCCTTTAAACTTCCCGAAGCCGTGGCTTCCAGCGCCCGCTTGGCATTTAGTTGCGCCTCAAGATCTTTTAGCGAACCACCCATTTCGGCATCAATTTTTTGCTGCATTTCCTTGACAGATGAGTCGATTTGCTCAACCTCTTCAAGGTTCTTGGCGTGCGTAGCCTTGCAGTTGGCTATGCGGCCTTCTATTTTTTGTTCACTGGCCTCCACGGTTTGCAGGGAATCGCATTGTTTCAAGTACTTGGCGGATATGTGAATCCTAATCAGAAAGTCAATGTCGCGGGAGATTTTTTGGTACTCCTGATAGGCGGAGCGCTCTTGTCGCAGTTTCATCAACTTGGGCAGCACTTCCTCGTCGAGTAGAACTTTGGTTTCTCTCACCTTGGTCTCCTTTTTCTCGATAAGCGTCTTAGTAGCCTCTCGTTTGCTTTTGTACTGGCTGGTGCCAGCTGCCTCCTCCACCATCGAAAGAACCTTCATAATGGAAATGATTAGCTTAATAATATGATGAAATGGTCTTGTCAGCTCACCTCCTTGGGCTTCATGTTGAGAACTTGCTGAATCTTGCCTTGCATGATCAAGAAATTGGGATTGTTGACATTTAGCTGAATGGAGCAAAAGAAATCTTGGACCTTCTTGTTCGGCACCAGCTTTCCGTTGATCAAGAACTTGTTTTTGCCACCGACTATCACTTGGCGGGTCACGGAAATCTCACGGCACTTCTCATATCCTTGTGGGCACATGGCGGCATTCGTATTATCAAAAACAATGGTCACCGTCGCCTTTGTAATGCCCGCCTGTCCGTTTTTGTACACCAACTCCTGCAGACCGGCAGCTCGAACCTGAGGATAATACAAGAGGGTTAGATCATGATCAGGTAAGCTAAATTAAGTATTTACATTGCTCAGATTGGTAATGCCAAGCACGAAGCAGATGCTGTCCAAGATGTTTGATTTTCCAGAACCGTTTAAACCGGTGATGGCCGTGAACTCCGGATCGAATCCCTCGATTTCCGTGCGACGACCGTAAGATTTGAAGCCGTCGAGCACTAGCTTCTTCACGTACATCTTGATGCGGGTTTCTCGCTATCCTTGTTACTTTATTTTGTCGATCTCCTGCCTCAGAATCCTGGAGTTTTGCCGCAATTTCGTCCAAATCGACGCTAACCTTCTTTGACGTTTACCAACATTGTTTTTGGTCATTTCCAACACATAGGTTCTAAAAGAAATTTCTCAACACTATTAAAAAATCGGTTATTTTAAAATTAAAAACAATTTCAGTGTTTAATTAGAAAATAAAACTTTAAAAATGGTTTTAAAATATATATAGAAATTTTTAGTCTCTTACAATTTTAATGTATTTATTTAGTTTAAAGTTTCGCTCTCATTGCCTCGTAGCACTTACTTCTGTACCTTCTGTACATGCTTCGCCAAAAATCCATTCTCTCCGCATCCGGATTGGCACACATTTTAAGCTCCCGATCAATCACAAGGCAATCCAGTTGGAAGGGCTTTCCCGCTTCGGGTTTCTTAACCGGCAGCCAAGTGTCCGACGGGATTCCACACTTTGCAAAATTCGTCCACATCTGGCACATCCTCTCCGTAGTCAGCAAATCATCACCTTCCAGCTTGGATTCATCGCCCGCCATTTGAAATAGGTAGCAAATATCATCGGCATGTGCAACTCCTCGAAGATCATCATTCATAAACACCTTCTTATACAAGTTACGGCCACCAACATAATCCAGCCGGTAGAAATACAAAGGCGACCTGGTCTGGCAGTTGGCATGGATCTCGGCGGCATGTTGAAGGTCCATGTTGAAATGGTAATCGGTGAAAAGGTCCGTCAGATTGTCCAGATTATCCTTGCCAACAGGTTGACCATTAAAGTAAAAGGCTCTAATATCCGAGGCTGCTTCTTGGGCTTCCGGTGCCTCTGGATCTGGCACCAGATTCTTGGGAACCATTCTCGCCAGATCATCCCCATAAGCGGCAATGTTTTGTTTGGCTTTCGTGATCATAGCAAGTCCTTCGGCTGAGTTGTACCCCATTATAACTGGCATTCCATTTAAAACTTCCTTTTTATGCATCAGATCTAGGATGTTCTGGTCCAAAAAGCTGTCCGGGCTGCTGCTGTCCTCCAGTACCGGCTTGAAGACAAAGGGAAGTTGGCGACGCCGATCATCGGCTGTTTGAATCTTCAGCGTATTGGAAAGTATACCGAATGGCGTTGCTTTTTCAGATCGTAGGAAGGCCAGAAGGGCTTTGGTGTCCTCGCCAAAATCTCCACCACCTAGAATTTTTGCTAATCTCCTTGGCTTGTCAGCAGCGTCGTTCTGGAACACCCACTCCATGTTGCCAGTTCCACTCTGCATTATAGCCTTGTGGAAGAGCTTGTTGGCATGCTTAGCGTAAGTATGGAGATGCACTGATGCTCCTCCGGCGCTCTCGCCAAAGAGGGTTACGTTGTTGGCATCGCCATTAAATCTAGCTATATTGTCCTGTACCCACTGAAGAGCCAGACGCTGATCCTTCAAGCCCATGTTGCCGTGGATTCCCTCCTCCGGCAAGCTAAGAAAGCCCAGAGCTCCCAGTCGATAGTTAAGAGTCACCACCATGACCTCCTGCTCCATAAGTTTGGCGGGGAAGTGACTGAAAGATACATAATAGATTAGATTTCACTCAGGTTAAAAGAAGGCGAGGTAATCACAAATTGTTGTTGCCGTTGCCGAAGAAGAACCCGCCTCCATGGATCCAAACCATCACCGGAAGAGGGGTACTAGAATTCTTGACCTTTGGAGCGTAGACATTGAGGAACAGGCAATCTTCAGAGCCGGCAACCTGCATGGTGAATGGATCACGCTGGTGGGACATATTGCCCTCCTTCGTACAGTCCAGCTCCGGCTTACTGAAGCGTTCCAAAGGCTGAGGGCTCTAGATTGAGATAAGAAAACATAATTTTTGAGACTTTACGAGCTTTAAACTTTACTTACCCGGAATCGGAGCTCTCCGAGGGGTGGGACTGCATATGGAACGCCTAGGAAACTATTGTACTCCAAGCCGCTGCCAAGCTTACTTTGCTGACCCACCACAACGCCTTGTTTGACTTGTACTTTCACCTTGGAGGTCGCCAAATAACAATATATTAATAGGTAATATAATGATGGAGCATGGAGCTCGTAAATTTACCTTCATGCTACTGTAGAGCCTCGTAAAAATGAATCTGCCGCCCGTCCGAAGCATGGCCAAATTATTCCTAGCCCCTTGATTACATTAACAATCTAATCGCGCTGCAATTATTCGGCAATAACAAAACCTGATTCGCTGCTGAACTTTGCCTCGTCCAAAAACAGCTGACGGTGTTAACCCTTGTGTGGTGTAGGGGACTTTTTATACAAAAGTTAAATGTTCAACAAAATGTTTTGAATCTAACAAGGTTTTTGTCAAAAATCTCCTTGAATCTTATTTAAAAAATAGTATTTAATAAATTCCGCCAAAAATTAATAAAAACACATTGAATTTTACACATTTAAAGTTACATTTAAAATGTTTCTAAGTTTTATTTGACTAGTTCCATTGCATAAACATTAATACAATTTATTTATGGGTTTCTTTTTTAAATTTCGAGATTTTTCCTTAGGTTTTCCATCCAAGAACTCTTATACAAGAATCCGGTCCGGTCTCCGCCCGCCGGTGGAGCTGTCAGTTCGGGTTTTGGGGAAATTGGTGTTTTAGTCAGATGGAACCCTTTATGGGGGATTCCAACTTGAAAAAGGTTTGAGCTTTCCCCGCCATCCAAACATCAAAAGCAACTCACCGATGGGCGTAGCTTTCGAGTTTCTTAAAAATGGATTCGGATTCGGGTAGGGGTAATTTTGGTGATTTTGGTAAGGTAAGGTAAGGTAAGGTATAATAATTGTTAATTAACTTTACTTTAAGCATAGTTCACACCAAAAGTCGGAAACATTTACACTTATGTACATGCACACATTTAACACACATACATCCAACACTTAATAAACATTTATATATATATATAGAATATGTGGTAATAGTAATATTTAGCAAACATTGAGAGCATGTCGTCTATTCCGTACGGAAAATGCCATCCCATATATGTAAGTATGTGTTGTTTCGAGACTCTTTTAGCCATGGATTCTGTTTCTGATTCTGGATTCTGGTTAATGTTGCTTGTTCATTAAAATAAGGGTCACAAAAATTGCGATTACAAATAGTAAATTGGTGTTTTGTTCTTCTACTCGTCGTCAAAATGTTTCATCTCTATTATATACTTTCATTAAAATCTTCTTAAAGCAAGTGTGCGCTTCAAGTAGAGGCAAATGGCTCGATGAATCAGCTCGTATTGCTCCGAGTTCTGGACCATTCCGCCGCGTTGCAGGCGCAGATTGCACACGATGCCCAGCACGTCCACATAAATTTCCGGCATCTTTGGCAACCGATCAAAGGAGGGTGGCGTCTCAACCGCCTCCGTGTCCTCCTTGCTGTTTAAAATGTGCTTGATATGCCGTATAGTGTTGCACGTGAAGCTGCTGTCGTTATCCGAGGGGTACAGAAACTGATCTGCCTCGTTGCTGGTCAGGGTTTTGGTGAGCATTCCAGTCAGGGAATATGCCAGCGACTGGCGCAGCTGCCGTACGGCGTTCAGGATTGCAGTGAAGCATCCGGTACGCCCAATCCCCGCCGAACAATGGATCACCGGCAGCGGCTGGACTGCATTGAATATGTCCTGTCGATAAATCTCCAGCCTCTGAGCCGCCAGGTGGGCATTCCGCACGCTCATCTTTTCGTCGTAGTTGTCGAACTCCGACTCGCACTTTCCGAGATTCAGGACATGAAGGCAGGTATCCAAGAGCGTGTTGATGTCCTTTGGCGAGTGGTGGTCCGGCCAGTCGGGATACCAATAGTGATAGCAGCAGATCTTTTGCAAATGGTAGCACCCACTTTGCGGAACCTGAATGCAGTAGAGGAGCACCAGTTTCCTCACCGAGTAACCGTTCCTCCGCACAATTCCAACATTCTTGATCAGGAAAAAGCTGCTCTGAGCGGGCAAAGATCCCAGCAGATCGCCGTCCAGCGTCACCTTAACCGATTCGACTCCAATGTGGCGTCCACTGAGTTCCTGGTCGATCGAATCAGCCAATGCCACCACAGTGTCCGGCACGGAAGTGGGCGTCAGGTAGCGATCGAAATAGTCCCGGGCCAGGGAACTCAACTGGAACACCTCGCACTTGGCGGCCACAGCAAAGATTTCGTTCAGCTCGACTGGAAAGTAGACTGCGCACTTTTGTCGGTTAGCCTCCGTAAAGTTGGTCAACATGATAATCTTCTGGAAGTATTGCTGGAGTATGTGCGCCCGATCGATGTGGGGACTGTTACTGCTTCCGCCGTCCACGCAGCGACGAATGTAGCGCTGAGTGTTCTGGTACACCATCAGCCAAAACTCGTAGATGGTGTTCGGCAACGGACCTTGGGTGGCCACATAGCATTTGGACACGTAGTCGGGTCCCTAAAATAGAATAAAATAGGTTAATGACAAGCCAAATGGAGAATATATCTGCTTACCTTTATATAATTGGCATTGATGTAGGGCTGTTCCTCGCCAGTGGCCACGGCAATGGTCTGTAACCTGTCCTCCTGCAAGCTCATCAGTTCATTGGACTCCTTTTCCAGCAGGACGCGGGAGTGCTCGTTCGGAAGGATCGTCTTGTAGCGATTCTTTGTCTGCGATCCGAATACCATGGGCTTTTCCTGGTGGTTTAAGGGCAGGTCCCAAAACTCCTTGTGCAGGTCCCGAAAGATACGCTTCTGCTCGTCCTCCTCCAGTTGGGGTAAACACTGTACAATTCTCTTGACCACCGCCTGATAGCAGGCCAGGAGTTCACTGTCTTCCGAGCTGGGAGGCACCAAATCCGTCGGAGTCTCGCCATCCCGTCCATTGGTTCCCAGCAGTGGAGGTTGTTCTATGATGTTTCTGTTCGACTGGTAACTATGGTCAAAGACATAGTTCAACCGGATCAAGTCAAACTGATTCAGGGGATTGGTGGCGCTCTGGAGCATCTGTATGCTCGCCAAGTAGATCTTGAACTCCTCACTGGTCGTTTGGGGCGACAAGGGTCGCGTCATGATATTGCGCACTGCTCCTGCGCAGGTGCACGAGGCTGCAATGGCCTGATCTGGTCCGGAGACCTCTTGCTGTGGATTGGGTTGCAAGTCCGAGGCGGATCCAAAGCACACCTGTCCGAAGAACTGCTGGCCGCTGGCCTTGCTGCTGTTCAGGTTCTCGGTGCTGAAGAACTTGCGCTGATGGGGGGCTTGGCTTCCAGCGGCACAACTGCACACGGTTACCTTCGGCTGGCTGACGTCCTGGACATGAATCTCAGTTGTAGCTCCGCCAAGAAGGCTTCCCATGTTGAGTGTGAGACTCTGATTGGAGCCGCGCCTCTCCAGGAGTCCTTTCTTCGGAGTGGGCACATTGGAGCCCGAGCCGGAGCCAGAGCCCGTGGAATTGGTGCGCATTCCCAACCGGTTGTACTTTTCAGTGTTTAGCATCGCCTGTTGCTGTTGTATGGAATTCAGGTCCCCGCAAGAGGTGGTGGTGTGTCCCGCCTTCAGGGTGATGCTGTGATTCGATCCCCTCCTCCGGAACTGTCCTTGCCGACTACCTTGGTTGCCGCCGGACATCAGATGCGTCTGGGCATGCTGATCCGTTCGTATTTGATTTGTCGCACCCGTGTCCAGGTTGTTGCTGGACTTTGAGTTGGTTCCCAGACTGAAGTTGGACAGGCTGAGCCCACTGTTCATCAGGTTGCCGCAAGAACTGTGCAGGTTGAGGGATAGGCTGTGGGTCGACCCCCTTCGCTGGAGCAGATTCATGGAGGATGTGGACAGGGTGGCCTTGGTTTGGAGCGTAGGCATCGGCAGGTCCATGGACTTTTGCTTGAAGGGCGACTCCTTGGATGTCCCAGCCTGAGAGGAGGAGAACTCAACCAGCCGGCACTCGGGCAACGTCTTCAGATTCGTGCTGGACGAGTGCAGGACCAGGTTGTGCTTGTGGGCGCTTCGTGGGGCGAGGCTAGCACCCAAACCGAACTTGGAGCCCCCGTCCACGCTGCAGGCGGACCTTAGCTCCGAATCACCCAGGCTGGGAGTCAGACTGGACTCTGAATCCAGGGAACTCTGGGCGGTGGAGCTGCAGTGATGCGGGTTCTGCATGCGGTGGTACATCATCCAGTCGGTGTTGTGGATTCCCGGGGACTTTCGTCGCGGCGTCCGTCTCTGGTTGGCTAGGCTCAGATGGCTGTCCAGGCGGGACAATGAAGTGGAGTGGATTCCAGAGTTGGGTTGCTGCAGGAGGTGCTGATGGAGGATGGTGGTCGATGGTTTGCCATGCCCGGACTCCATGTCATCGCAACTGCTGTGAGATTCGGTTATGTTGTGCACCACGATCGAAAGCTCCGACTCGTTGGCGGCAGAGTCCAGGGATCGGGCCTTCTCTTTGGTGCTCTTAATAGTCGGGGTTTTTGGCTTCGGTAACGGGGAGGGCTGATTGGAACTCTTGATGGGAGCATCGGTGATGCGAATGGTGAGATTGTTCTTATTCTTGCGGTTCTTTCGACCCTCCGACTTCTGCTGATGGTGCTGCTGCTGCTGCTCCTGGTACTCCTGGGGCTCCACAACTGCCAGGGCAGCATCCTCCAAGTTGGAGATCTCCATCGGCACATCCTGCACCTGCACCATGTGGTCGATCTCGGGGAATCGAAAGAAATTGCCGTTTTTGTATCCCGCGGAGTTAATTATATTCAACGGCGATCCGGATAGGTTCAGGTTGTTGATGTTGGAGGAGAGCAGTTTGGGGGAGTAGCTGAAGTGATGGACACCCGGAGTCGTGGAGGATTCATCCTTGAAGATGATTGTTGGTGAGTTGTGCTCACTCTTAGACAGGTACAGGCTGTTCTCCAGGTCGTGCTCCTCACTGCCGCCCTTGGGCATGGTATTCTCCTTGTCAGTACCACGCCCGCCGCCGCCAACCCCCCGATCCTCTCCCGCGGTGGAGGCGATGTGGGGAGAGCAGGATCGCCGTTCGTACACCGAAAAGCGCTTGAACTTGCGGATCAGCGTGGGCGATTGCTGGTGGGGATTGTGGGCGCTGGCAATAGTGAACTGCTTGGGAGTGTAGCAGGCCCTCGTGGATTCATCGTCCTCGGCGGAGGATTCTGGGATTCCCGAAGGAACCTTTTCCGCTGTGGGTGAGGGGAACTCAAAGGAGGTCTGCAGGAACTCCAGAGGCGTGAAGTAGGGAGTACTCTTGTTACTTTCCGCATCCTCATATCCGCCTCCCCCCTCCAACGGTGGTAGGGGTGCCTGTGGGTGGGGATGGGAGTGGGGGTGGGGGTACTCGATGGGTGCATTCTCCTTGTTGTTGTTTCGTAGCTTGTCCATGATACACACACAAATGCAAAAGCGGGGCGCACGCGGCGCGGTCGCTCTGCCCGAATTTCGTTCTAGCCTCACTCAATCGGCATTGTCTCTCGTTCGCCGCACATTTAGCACTTCCGATTTGGAATATATCCCCTGTTTAGCATCCGATTTACATTCCGAAATAAAATGATTATTCTAGTCATTATTACTACAAACAGTGTTGCCAACGTAGCTCTTTTCTCGTCAAATCTAGCTACTTTTAATGTCCACAAACTGGAACCCATTCCACTTGGACAGAGCCTGTCATTCTAGCTACTTTTAGCTACATTTTAATTAGTTTTGTTTTTAGCCATTTAATGTAAATAAATTTTAAATAAATCAAAACGACTTATAATCTGGGAGGGAATTAAATAATTAAGCTATTTAAGTCCACGAATTTCGGTGTCTATCGCGACAATCGATAGTCCTTGCTAATACTGTTTAATTTGTACCTAAATTAGGTACTGAATTTGCAAGCTTAAATACCGAAAGAAAATTGCCTAAAAATAAGCTTTAAGCTTAAAATTTCCTAAAAATATCTTACTTTTAAACATAAAAGTTACTTTTTTTCAATATTCCACCAAATTACGCAGTTGGATGCAACCATTTCATTCCTTGAAAAAAATTATCGATAAACGCCAGATGTGAAAAAAATACTATATATTTTTGGATATACTCAAAAACTGTGCTGCCAACTTCGCGCAATTGGCAGCCCTAATTTGCCTGCCAATAGACCGTAATTTTTCAAATTTTGATTTAACAGAATTACTGAAATCAACACACAAAACTAACTAATGAATTTGAATTTTTCGAGGCGGGGGGCGAAACGGGCTGGTGCTATCTAGGAGATAAAAAGATGAGGGTTAATCCATAGACGCAGCATTGCCTGGTTTTGTGCCAACAGAGCGGTGGCCTCTAACTCGCAGCGTTTTAATAGCCGATCGTCCTTGTCGATGGGATACCGCTGCACTGGATGTTGGGCTGCCGCACTGAAGGTGGAATTCGAACTGGAGGATGCTGGTTCTCCTGCATAGCCAGATGCAGATGCTAATGGTGGGCCTTGAGGATCACGGGCGAGAACAGGATGCATGCCAGCTGTTTGGACGGCCAGGATGCGCTGGAGTTTCTCATGGTGATAGCTGAGATAGCTGAAGGAATCGTTAAATTCTCTTGGTGGCTCCGGTGCCTGTGTGGATGATATAGGTTCAGGAGCTAGCGGTACAGGGCTTGGCGTCTGGGTTTCTGAGGTTGACGACGTGGAAGCCAGCGTTTGTGTCTGGGTAATTGCTGTTTGCTTTTTTTCTTTAGCTTTTGGAGCAGGAACCTTTGGCTTTGGGGTCTTGTTTGTCGACGTGGATGCCGCCGTTGGTGTCTGGGGAATCGTGGTTCCATTTTTGTGTTTCGCTTTTGGCGCAGGAATCTTTGGCTTCGGCTGATTCTGGGGCAATTTCGGGTCTGTCTTGGGTTTGGCCTTCTTCACCCGCTTCGCTTTCCCTTTGACAGGCTGCTGCTTCTCCGCCTGAAAAGTTTTGGAATCCACATGGACAATGTGCGCCTTTGGCTGCTCCGCTGCGAATATGCTGAACTGGTTACCTGGCTTAGTGTTTTGTGGCTTCTTGGGCCGTTTGTTCTTGTTCGATTTCCCGGGTTTGCTGGCACGCTTCAAACGCGGCGAGATGATTACCTTGACGCCGTTGTACCTTGCTCCTGATACACCTCCCACAGCTGCGGCATAGGTAAGAGCCGGCGGAGGTGGAGGCGGAATATAGACCACTGCAGGAGCAAGTTTCATATATTCTCCTAATGGCTTACGACGCACAGGAACAAATTGGCAGGGTTCTTCACTATTTGATTGAGCATTGTTAATATTTCGGCCTGCTCCGGCACCGGTACCGGTACCGCTTCCCCCAGCTCCTGGCCCTACACGGACGCCTACACCACCGCCTGTACTGGAACTATCAAGTCCTCCATCGTTTCGACTCCGGCGGCTCCGGCGCTTCAGTAGTACCGCCGCCGATCTTGTCTTTGGGGCCGCCAGTTTGGTCCTCCGTCCTAAACCTGGTGATGGCGTGGTTTTCGTTGTTGCTGACTGAAGCGCGTGTGCTGGCTTGCATTGGATACAAAATGTGGATTACTACATCTGCTCATTGCGACACTTAACTAGACTGCCACTTACTGGGGTTGCTTGGATGTACTGGGCGCCGGATACTGCGATATTTTTTGAAATCATTATTTTCTTCTTTCTGTAGTTTATGTTTTTGATTCAGTACTCATTCAAAATTGTGTATATTTTTTGACAGGATGTGACATTTAGTGATGGGCGGGCAGTATCGACGAAAACAGGGACCCCTTATGGGACAGTGCCTGCCAATGACCTCAAAATTATTAAAAAATTATATTAAAATTATAAAATTAGGCTAACTTTGGGCGGAGCCGCAGTTGGGATACCCTGGCGGTTAAGATCAAATATTTATCACAAATATCGCATATGGTATCGCATGCTTTCTCCTATATGGCCAGAGCGATGGCTATATCTTCCCTAATTCGCATCCGATTCTCAAGCGGAGGATCTTAAACGATTTCTGGATCGATTCTCCACCATTCTCCATCAAAATCCTGCGACAAAATATTTTTTCGATTTTTTGTCCATTTTTCCTGATGGGACCCCTTGAAAATGGGGTTTTCCCCTATATGGCCCACGGCGATGGCTATATCTTCCTCAATTCTCATCCGATTCTTAAGCGGAGTACCTTAAACGATTTCTATATCGATTCTCCACCATCCTGCATCAAAATCCTGAGACAAAATATTTTTTCGATTTCTTGTCCATTTTTCCTGATGGGGTCCCTTAAAAATGAGGTTTTTCCGTATATGGCCCACGGTGATAGCTATATCTTCCTCAATTCTCATCCGATTCTTAAGCGGAGTACCTTAAACGATTTCTGGATCGATTTTCCACCATTCTGCGTCAAAATCCTGAGACAAAATATTTTTTCGATTTCTTGTCAATTTTTCTTGATGCGACCCCTTGAAAATGGGGTTTTCCCCTATATGGCCCACGGCGATGGCTATATCTTCCTCAATTCTCATCCGATTCTTAAGCGGAGTACCTTAAACGATTTCTGGATCGATTCTCCACCATTCTGCATCAAAATCCTGAGACAAAATATTTTTTCGATTTTTTGTCCATTTCTCCTGATGGGGTCCCTTGAAAATGAGGTTTTTCCGTATATGGCCCACGGTGATAGCTATATCTTCCCCTAGTCTCATCCGATTCTCAAGCGGAGTACCTTAAACGATTTTTATATCGATTCTCCACCATCCTGCATCAAAATCCTGAGACAAAATATTTTTTCGATTTCTTGTCCATTTTTCCTGATGGGGTCCCTTAAAAATGAGGTTTTTCCATATATGGCTCACGGTGATAGCTATATCTTCCCCTATTCTCATCCGATTCTTAAGCAAAGTACCTTAAACGATTTCTATATCGATTCTCCACCATTCTGCATCAAAATCCTGGGACAAAATATTTTTTTCGATTTTTTTCCATTTCTCCTGATGGGGTCCCTTGAAAATGAGGTTTTTCCGTATATGGCCCACGGTGATAGCTATATCTTCCCCTAGTCTCATCCGATTCTCAAGCGGAGTACCTTAAACGATTTTTATATCGATTCTCCACCATCCTGCATCAAAATCCTGAGACAAAATATTTTTTTCGATTTCTTGTCCATTTTTCCTGATGGGGTCCCTTAAAAATGAGGTTTTTCCATATATGGCTCACGGTGATAGCTATATCTTCCCCTATTCTCATCCGATTCTTAAGCAAAGTACCTTAAACGATTTCTATATCGATTCTCCACCATTCTGCATCAAAATCCTGGGACAAAATATTTTTTCGATTTTTTTTCCATTTCTCCTGATGGGGTCCCTTGAAAATGAGGTTTTTCCGTATATGGCCCACGGTGATAGCTATATCTTCCCCTAGTCTCATCCGATTCTCAAGCGGAGTACCTTAAACGATTTTTATATCGATTCTCCACCATCCTGCATCAAAATCCTGAGACAAAATATTTTTTCGATTTCTTGTCCATTTTTCCTGATGGGGTCCCTTAAAAATGAGGTTTTTCCATATATGGCTCACGGTGATAGCTATATCTTCCCCTATTCTCATCCGATTCTTAAGCAAAGTACCTTAAACGATTTCTATATCGATTCTCCACCATTCTGCATCAAAATCCTGGGACAAAATATTTTTTCGATTTTTTTTCCATTTCTCCTGATGGGGTCCCTTGAAAATGAGGTTTTTCCGTATATGGCCCACGGTGATAGCTATATCTTCCCCTAGTCTCATCCGATTCTCAAGCGGAGTACCTTAAACGATTTCTATATCGATTCTCCACCATTCTGCATCAAAATCCTGAGACAAAATATTTTTTCGATTTTTTGTCCATTTTTCTGATGGGTTCCCGTGAAAATGTGGTTTTCCCCTATGGGGTCCACTGTGATGGCTATATCTTCCTCAATTCTCATCCGATTCTTAAGCGGAGTACCTTAAACGATTTTCCGTTTTAATCGATAGTTAACAATCTGTTTTTGAGTTTTAAACAAAGACTTATCAAATATCTAACAATATTATCAATCGCAGTTGCCTTTGAAAAGAGTTTCTTTCTGAAAAGAGAAGAGAATAAAACAGTCTTAAAGAATCATTTAATCCAGTAGTCTAAGGGGTTTCTTTCGTCTAATTTGTCTACTATTTTTAAGATTCTGTAATATTTTCATATGTATATTTATCTTTCAAGTGCAAAAATGTTTTGTGCTGGATTGTTGCAACGTAGGTTGAGCCAACGTTTACCACAGTCGTAAGTATATCTACTACACTTCCTTATAAATCGTATATATTTGAATATCCTCCTAGGTTCGGTTTCAATCCGAAAAAGTCCTTTTCTGACGAAAAAAAAGCACCGAATGTATTCCTTTGGGGCGGCGGTCTGGGCAAGCTCCAAGGCGGTCTGAAAGAGGAGGAGTATTTCATTTCTTTGACCCAAAGCCTGGTGAACAAAATGCAGTCAAAGAAGGACGAAGTCGACTACATGCCCAACTGGGACGAATTCCAAAAGACTCTGGATCACTCATCTATTGCCAACACATCGTGCATGAATAAGCATAAGAATGTACTCGAGGAGGCTTTCTTTCTTAACGAGGTATGAAAACTTTGTAACCCTTTTTTTGCAAAAAAATATAACCCTATTTTTTACTACATATCCTTAGACTGCTGATAACTTGAAAATATTACATGACCGTGCCCAAGACGAAGCACAACAACGCGTCTTGAATAACACTGCCACTGATGTTATGGAACATCTCAAACCCGATTCGCACACCATAAAATAGTTCCTTGTTTCTTAATAATGTTAGTTATGCGTTCATTTTTCGGAGCAAGTAGGCCTCGACGTTAAGGAAGCCCTACCAATTGCCCAATAAAATCAATAGTTACCGGTTAGAACAATGAGTTTGGAAATACATTGCCAATATAATAAAAATTATGCGTTTAAAATTTGAAAAAAAACCGTTTATTTTATATTGAGTTGGCAGGTCAGGGTTCAAAGGTGCTGACATATTTGTTTGGAGAGGGAAACTATATACTCAAAAAGGGGGAAAAAGGGCTTGGAACTATATTCTTAATAAAAATAAAATTAGTCTTTTAAACAAATAAATCCTTTAGAACTAATCAAATATTTTTCCGTGCCCCATCACTAAAAAGGTGCTCCATCTCCCTCCCCCAATAAATATTTTTAGCACCGCCTGTGTCTTTATTTTGAATAGTCTGTTTTCACCAGTCGGCGAAATCGTTGCGACAAATCACCCCTTATATATAGCTTAACTATACTATATAAATCGGCGCTATAAAAGAGAAACATGTTTACCCTGCGCCGTTTCAGTCAGCGTTTGTATCCCAAGCAAATTCAGTAAGTTTTCATAAATTGGGTCAAAATTGCATAAGAATTCGAGAACTATATTGCAACTTTTGTGGCAGGCACTTGAAAATGTCACAGGTCGGTGAACTGGGAAGTGGAGCAGGAAAGGGAGGCGGTGGTGGTGGGACCATTCGCGAGGCAGGCGGTTCCTTTGGAAAAATGGAGGCTGCCCGGGAGGAAGAGTTCTTTTACAAACAGGTGGGAATTTATATTATTTTATTGAATTTTAAAAACTTTTAAGATTTTTTTACTTTTAGCAAAAAGAGCAATTGAAAAATCTGAAGACCAAGACAGATACTAAGGCACCTGAGACTAAAAAGAAGTGATCTCTCACTATGGAATGCAGAAACAAAATAATGTCTGATTTGTATTTAAATAACTATTTTCTCAAAATAAAGTTTATGTAATTAAGTTATTCAAAAAAAAACTATTTTCTAAAAGTTGCATAGAATTTAACCTCACATTATATAAAAATCAAGTTAGGAAAATTTGAGAAAAAATGACCCCAAAATTAATTATTTTCACCTGATCACTGTGAATGCCAATCAGCTGTTTTATGCTCCCCCAGAGTCACTTTATGGGCCAGCTTACCTCCCCCTCCATTTGTTTACGAACAAGTCTGGAAAGGAGAGTCGCGGACTGATAGCCGGGGGGCAGCTAAGTAACTGATAAGAACAAGGGAGACCTACAGATGCCCGTCGTAAACGCTGAATAGGCGGTTGGAAACAGTTCTCACCGGTTCGCTCGAGTGTGCAGTTCCTCCGATGGCGGCGACAATCCAGAACACCGTGAAAGCGGCGCTTAGGAAGCGCATCAAAGACACCCTTAAGTGCCTGGATCCGGAGAACATTGTCCGGCAATCACAAGCAGTCACCGCAAAGGTAACACATAAATATAATTTCCCTATTGGGATTCACCATATCCATTCCTTTCTCAGGTGCTTGTCAGTGACGTTTTCCGGCAGGCCCAACGTGTAAGCATTTACCTGAGCACCAGCACCGAACTGGACACTAATGAGTTGCTCTCCGAGATGTTTCGTCTGGAGAAGATGGTGTTTGTGCCCACCTACGAGGGCAACAAGATGAAGATGGTGCGTTTACGTTGCATGGAAGAGTACCAGAATCTCCCAGTGACCAAGTGGAACATAAAGCAGCCAGACTTTAAAGAACAACGTGAAGATGCAATGACTAATGGTAAGTTTTAAGGGCATAGGACACGTTTCTTAATCTCTCATTGAATGCTTCTGTTTAGGCCACGGCATTGATCTTTTCCTTGTGCCCGGCGTGGCCTTCACCCGATCTGGAGGACGCATGGGTCATGGAATGGGGTACTATGATACTTTCCTTCGGCAGCACGCAGAGAAGTATCCGCAAAAGAAGATCTCCCTCATGGCCCTGGCCTTGAACGAGCAGATCGTCAGCAACGAGGAGCTGCCCATGGAGTCGCACGACATACGTTTGCATAGTGTAGTCACGGAATGCTAAATTTAAATTCATGTATCATTTAAATATTTCAATTATTAATCTGATTTCAAAAATAAACCTTTTTACAAATATTCGTCAATTGGAATTGAAACAATGCTTAAGAGATTAAAAGTAAAAGATTCGCTTAAAAAGTAACTTTAGAACATAGACTTTAAACTTAAAAATATTATCGCGGAAGGATATACAAATGAAACACAATATATGAACAAACATTCACGAAATCAAACTGGTAGACGGTCTCCAAGAATTAAACTTTAGCGTAAGTAGGATGGTCTGGAACGCAAGCCACGTCCCCTGGAGCGCCCACTGTAGTGGGACGATGAGTAGTGTGAGTCACTGCTGCCAAAGTGGGATTCTGAGTTGCCGGAGCGGTAAGAGCCAGGGGATTCAGCCCAACTGGAAGGTGAACCAATGCGCATCAGCTTCTTTTGCCTGCCACAGATAATAAATATTTTAAAATCTTTTAAACTGAACCGATTAGGGAATACTTACCTAAAAGCAGCCGCTGCTGAGATGCGGGATCCTCGGTTGCGTCCCACCCTGGATCCTCTGAGCATGGAAGGTATCTTATTATAGCCCGTTGGTCCTGTGGGTTGGGCTCCACAAGTTTCCAACGCTAAAAAGTCATCAACATGTAGGGATGGGGGTCTAGATGTGTTTGGCGGTCGTGACCGGAACAGATCACCGCGAGATGGCGGGGGACGGGCAAATCCTCGACCCCTGACGGACGAAACAAACATTTTCTTCTCCGGACGGCCTGTGGCTGGTTCCACTTCAACGCGCCGGGTACGGAAGCAAGGGGCTGTTGGCGTCATCTCCCTATTGGATTGAGGGGATCCCGAAAGATTGATTGTCCTCTTGTTATCTCCAGCAGCATTCAGATCAGGATTGAGACAGGCATTTGCCAAGTCAGTTAGGTCGCAGGCTATGCGTTCGTACAGGGGCTCATTCATGTCCTCGATCACCTCAATGGGCAACGGCTCAAGCCAATAGCGCGCCGTTAGGTGAGCATTTTCTGCTGTGGCGCAGAAGCGCGTGAAGATCGGACGTGCTTCGTACTGGGAGACGATACCCTCGGCTTGTGGAAGATAGGGTTCTACACTCAGAGGGTTGCTGTTTGGATTGGCTTCCCCCTCCCCCTCAACAGTGGTGTCTGTGCTGGCACCTTGAGCTATTGCTGCCTCTTGTCTGGAGGCATACAGTAGAATCAGTTGCTTCAAGTCACTGACAGCTGCCTCATTGGCCACCGCCTTGTGTTTCTCCATCACGGACAGAATGCGAGTCAGCACTGGTGGCTTGCACAGATCAATGTCCTGGAACTCTAGTAGTTGAGCCAACTCCAAAGCGCCCAGCTTAAGGGTTCGATGAGGCATCGCTGACATGGCGGGTGGTGGTTCGATTTGCGTCAGAGACCGCAGCAAGAGGATCAGCGACTCAATGTTGGCGTTATACTCCACGGTCTCGTTATGCAGGATGACACGCTCCATCCAAGCCTGGAACTCTGTTATCTTTTGTTTCAGCAACAGGGCTAGATGGTAGAAGGTAAAGCTGGAAAGATAATAAAGACGGATAAGAATCACAACTATATAGAATCAATAAACTCTTACTCATGTTCCGTAAGGATGACCATATTGCGCACAGCCAGAATGGAGATGCCATGGGTGACCTCCACGCTCGTAAGGTTGCTGAAAACCGCGTCTATAATCCTGGGAATAAGTTCCTTGGGCGGCAGAGCTGCTGCCAAATTGAGAGCTGGAGCAGCGGTCGATTTATGAGAAATCAACGAAATTCCAGAGTCCAAAAAGCTGTCCAAGATACGATGCACTGCTTCTTGGCAGTTTGAGACCACCTCGTTAAACTCATTCAGAGCCAAGAGGCATTGGAACAGTTCCCAAAACTTGCCCGATAGTATGGACAGCATGGAACTTTTCAAAGGAGCAAAAGCACAGAGACGCGTAGAGAAGCGGAGCAGTCTCTCCAAGTTGGTGGTTGGGATGCAATTGGAGGTCTGATATTCGTTACACAGCAGCTCCGTAATAGTCTTGGCAATGAGCAGGGTCATATTGGGGGCCAAATCTGAGAGCTGCATGCAGACACGTTGCAACATCTCCGAAAGCTGGGGGAAACTGGACGGAGCCAGGGCTTCCACCAGCTTGGCTATCTGGCCGCTCTGCGGATGCAAGTGGGCGGACCACAGTTTCCTTTCAGTTATCAGGCGCTGCTTATGCTGCTGTTTCAACTGGTCACACAAGGGCTGGGGCATCGGCAGCGGTAATGGAAGGAGCTCCGCCAAAAGTTTAAGTCCTACAAGACAAGATAGAGTTAGTGACTACAAACTTGCTTAACAAATTACAAGAACCTACCCGGAATAAAATGAGCAGGTCCATCGATGTTTTTGAGAACTTCCCTGACCATCAGAGTCCACAGAGACTTGTGCAGAGACTCCTCATCCTGTTCATTTGGCTGCGTGTAGGCCAGTAGAGTTTGGACTACCTCCATCTTGCACTGCTCCACCTCAGCGCCTGCCTGACACCGTGTTGGATAGTAGTACAGCAGATAGTAGACCTTCACCAGGTGATCAATGGCTGTCAGATCCTTGTAGGTCCCATCTCTGCACAGAATAGCATACGAAAGCAGCTCCCTCAATATTTGCAGGGTGGGAAGCATGATCTGGCAACAGTGCACCCCTTGAATCGTCATCAAAGCGGGCGAGTGATCTCCCGGCTGTTCAAAGTAGGTGCACAGCCGCTCCATGATCTGGATGCACAGCTGAACGCCATCAGCCGAGTACAACTGAAGGGCGACGAAGCGGTGCTTCAGTTCCTCAGTTACTGGCGTTGGTTTCTGTCCGTCGATGGGCTTGCTGATGGAGAGGTACCGCAGGATTCGAAGGGCCATTATAAGGTCCCCAGGGAATGTGGTCAAGTAGTCCAAGGACCGTCCAATCACCTCCACCAATGGCATGATATCATCGTAAACAAACACGTTGATGGCCTCCAGAGGCTTCATGTAGACGTACATCTCTTGCAAAACAGCCGAAACCGAAGGCTCGAAAGTGTCGTGGTTCTTGGCCAGCTCCAGTATCACTCCTCCGTGTTCAATGAGGTAATCCAACTGCTCGCAGTAACGGACACAAGCATCAACCATGTCCACGGCGTAACTCAGCACCGGGCTCTTGTACTTCATGCCCGGAGAACTCAGCTGACGCTGCGTCTGCAATCGCTGCTCCTTCTTGATCAGGTCCATGAATATCTTGAGATTGTTGTTTAGTCCCAACACCTCCACGGTATGCTGCCTGCCGGAGGGATCGCAGGTCTGCGAGTAAATGGCGTGCATGTGGGTGGACAAGCGCACAGCATCGTATTCCGGGGCATAGACTATGGCATCCAGGTGGTAGCGAGTTTGAACTTTGTATGACATTTCGATACCCAACCTGGCAAGTCGGGGGAGGACTGGCCGCAGGATTGGCCTCTGTCTCGTTGGAGGAGCAGCAGCAGGAACAGCAGCTGGTTTTGTATCCTCCTGTTCGGCGGGTTCACTTGGTTTTTCTGCATCTGCTGCTTCCTCCGTAGTTTCCGTGGGCTTAACATCCATTTCAGGTTCCTCCAGTTTGGGTATCTCCTCCTCCAGGCTCCTGGGCAGGTCATCTAGCCCCAGCAGAATGGCCACAATGGCCTGGGTAACAGGAAAGGCATCGTCCACAAAGTAATCGATGCCGACGTGTGAACGGAACAGGGCGTGCATAAGATCTAGCATGCACAGATATGTGGAAGCTGGCAACATCTTGCAGTTTCCCAGCATCAACAGCAGGGATTCCGCCACAGCGTGGTGCTTCAAGAAGGACTGCAGAGCATTGGCGAAGCTGCGTTGGGCCATAGAATCGGTGACCACCTCGAACTTCTTGGACACTGGCAAGAAGCGACGTGGTTGCTGGTAGCTCAGCTGGCTGGTGCTCAACGCATCCATGAGCATCTGGAATGAGTACTCTATCTTTTTGCAAAGGATCACTGTCTCCGTCTTGAACTCGGCATCCTTACTTTTATCCGGATCCCTATCCACAAATAGCCTTCGGCAGCAAAGTTGCACAGATCCCAAGGCCTCCCACAGATGCATCTTCTTGATGATGGCTTGCAGGGCATATTTCGTTCGCGTCAACTTGGCCGACTTTAGGGCTTCAATAATAGCTTCATATCCATTCGTGGGCGAGTTAAGAAAGTGCTCAATTCCCAGGCGGGTGTCCAGAAGAGCATACACGGCTTTGAGAAGCTGCAGCTTGATGGACAGAGCCATATAGGGTTCGTGATACAGTTTGAAAACAGCGTCGAACGGGTCGAATTGATGCTCCTTGAGTAGGTGTTGGAACAGCTCCTCGCTGCTGCCCAGAAGTTCAGCCATCCGAGCTCCCAGCTTTATGTGTCGAATTTTAAAAGCTGGCTGTGGCTGCATGCAGGCCGCTTGGAAACTTAGAGCGATTTGCAAAACATGTGACGCCTGTCGCAGATGCACTTCATCGTTTCTGAAAAACTGTTGCAGCACAAAGTTGCGTCGCTTGTAGTTTTGGGCCAAGTACGCCAGTTGGTTGTTCAGTTGTTCTCCCAAATAGACGAACTGCTCCCTTTCATCCACACTAACGCCATGCTCTTCACTAAAAGCAGGCACGTTCTCGCAACGCGTTTGCACAGCCAACTTCTTGAAGAGCAGCCTCAGAGTTTCCAACTCTTTGGTGAAGTGTACCGTCAGATCACCTTCGTAGAACTGCAGAGGCTTTTGCCACGGCTCGAAGGCGTCGATGGCGGGAGGAGCTGCAGCCGCCGCTGCTTCCAAATCCCTTTCGTACTCTGCAATCGCCGCTGCATCTTCTGCTTCGTCTTCCTCATCGTCACCAATGATCTCGTCATCGCTGAGGATGGGCTCAAACTGCTCCTGCGGTGTACACGAACGCTCTTCATCCTCCCGATCCCTATCCCCTCGATGAAGCGATTCCGAGGAGTGCCTGTAGTGGGAAGCTTGCATTTTGTAGTGAGAGCGTGAGTCTTCATCTTCGTAATCCATTGTATCAGGCGACCGTGGTCGCGTAGGTGAATCAATTGAAGCTGGCGGAGTCCTGGGCCACTTGTGCTCGTCCACATCCGAGCGAGAGCGTTCCGAACGCTTCCTTCTGGAACGATGACTGGAATACTCGGGGGATCTTGACCAATCCCTCGAACCCTTGTCACGGGAACTGAGTTGGAAGACACAGGTTTATATATGGATTATAAATATATTTTAATATATATACTCACCATCTTATGTACTCCCTGTCATTGCTCTCCGAGTGGGTGTGGGATCGTCGAGGTGGTGGCGGTGAGCGATCCGTGGAATGAGTGGAGCGACGCATGCGTCTCATGTCCCGCTGATCTGGCTCCTCGGCATGCTGGTGGTAGTGTTCCCGCGGCATTGTATATTCCATTTCCTCCGGATCATAGTCGCTAACATTGCCCTTGTGGGCGGTAAGAATTTCGGTGGGTATGGGTTCTTGCCACTCGTCTTTCAACACATCCTCTTGCAACAGAACCTCCCCACTCAAGTTACACATCTCCGGGCCGACGGGTTCGCAGGGTAGGGTGGGACTAGCAATGGGCTCGGTGACAGAATTGGTGAGGATTCCGTAGACCGCCAAGGTAATGGTGCTGTACCAGCCACGAAGCACTAATCCATCCGTAGGTATCTTCTCTTGCGAACAATCCAGGTGGATGCAATCGTTCTGGTTGTACCGCAGAAGTCCCAGGTTCTCGAAAGCCGAAGCGCCGGGCATTCCCAAATCGTTAACGAAGAACTCCAGATCGAACTTGGATGGATTGGTGGCTCCTAGCCGAACTCCGCCGGGAAAGTCAGCCTGCACCCGGGCTCCCAGGGGAATGATTCTAACCTGGGTGATGAAAACCGGCTTCGGAAACTGCACCAAATCCAAATTGACGTCCTATGAAAAAAGTGTGGGTGAGTACTTCGTCTGGGGACTTGATGGACCTCTTACCGTCACTTCCTCGTGGGAAAACGTATCAAAGAACAGCAGCTCGGATCCATCGTCTGCCTCGGCCATAGTGGGACGGTTAGTGAGTGGTTATATCAACAATAACCAAACAAATATTATCAATTTTCCGAAAAAACCGTGTTGGCGTCAAATGTGTAGTGTGACCAGGTTCAGCGAACGCTGTTATCTATGAGGGAGGTAGTGATGACAAATTAGCTACTTTTTTGTTTACTTTTAGCTATTTTTTTGAAGCCACAGGTTGTTTAGCTATAGCTGTCGTTATTTTAAGCTTAAATTTGATAAGCTTGATAAAAAATCAAATTTTAATGTTTAGATTTAATAGACTCAGTATAATTACCACCCAAGAAAGCTTACACTTTATAAATACTTCAGTAATGTTATTGTCGTTGTATCTAGTACTACACACAAGTTAATAAGGATTATTTTACCAAGCTAAACATTATTCAAACAATATTTGACGGCATAAAAGTGAATAATCTGTATAAACTTTAATTCAATTATATATTCATACTGATTTAGATGTAGACTCTAAAATATATCCATATAAAGCCGTGTATAAATTTTACGTAATTGCAGTTGTTGGTTTGATTTAAATGCTAATTGTGCCGACAACGTTGGGCCTACACTGTGTAATATGTTGTTTAGCTAATCGTTGTCCCCCTTTCCGTATATAGTCCAGCCACAGTTGGATTACAGGTTGTTTTTACATTGGCAGTTGTCACCGCCAGTGCCGGTTACAGCAGCATGGATCGCCTTGGCCACATAGTCGATGTTTCCAGTATTCAGGCCGCACATGTTGATGCGTCCGGTCTTCAGCAGATAAATGTGATACTCGTTGATAAGCACCTTCACCTGACTCTCGTTGAGACCGGTGTAGGAGAACATGCCGATCTGGCTGACGATGTGGTCCCAAGTTCCAGGGGTGCCCAGAGCAACCAACTTTTCGCGCAATGCCGTGCGCATCTTGCGAATGCGGCTGGACATGGTCTGGATGCTCTCCATCCATTCCTTTCGCAGCTCTGGTGTGTTCAGGACCTTCGACACAATACGGGCTCCATAGGCAGGGGGGTTCGAGTACTGGCCACGGATGAGCAGCGTGAGCTGGGAGTGCACGGCCGCTTTGGTAGCTGCGTTCTGTTGCACCACGGTCAGGTTTCCGGCACGCTCGCAGTACAGACCAAAGTTCTTTGCGAACGACTGGCAGACGAAGAGCTCAAAGCCCTTCTTCACGAAATAACGTACGGCCCAGGCATCATTGTCGGGATCGCCACTGGCAAAGCCCTGGTAAGCCGAATCAAACAGAGGGAACAGCTTCTTGCGTTCAAACAAATCGGCCAGTTCCTGCCATTGCTCGTGGGTTGGATCGCTTCCGGTGGGATTGTGAGCGCAGGCGTGTAGGATGATCACGGCGCCAGGAGGAGCTTTATCCAAATCGGCTACCATGTTCTTGAAGTCGAGCTTCCGATTGGTCTGGTCCCAGTAGCGGTACGAGTGCAGGGAGGTGAAACCCGCGTCGGAGAATATCTTGTGGTGGTTCTCCCATGTGGGGTTCGAGTAGTAGACCACATTACGGTTCAGCTGCGTGTGAAGGAAGTCGGCAGCAACGCGCAGAGCACCAGTGCCCGAAATGGTCTGAACTCCAAAGGCCTATCAGCGAAAAAATTATATTAATAGAAGTTTACAATAAAATTTTACAAAATACTTACGCGATTTTCCTGAATAGCAGGAGAATCAGTGCCGAGAACCAGTTGGGTGGCTGCAGTTGTGAAGGTATCGAGTCCTGGAATATCATTTTATTAAGGATTAGGGATTACAAGAAACTTCTAGCTTTAAGATTCTCTTACCAGTCACTGGCAGGTATTCGTGGTTCACTTTCTCATCGCTGGCAATGGAGATTTCAGTGCGTCGCACCACAGGCAGTACCCACGGCTCTCCAGCATCTGTCCTGTAAGCTGTAGATAGAAATTAAAAAAGATAGAATTAGCAACAATTCTTCAAAGTACAAGGAGGCTTAAGTGCTGGAGGGAATCCATTGTTCAAAGTCCTTAAATCGGTAACAATGTTTAATTCTTATCGGAGTGAACTTAACAAGTCCAATCAATCCGTAATGCTAAATGGAATCTGATATCTGATAGTGTTTTTCGGCTTGTTTCTAGGCCACATAAATTGTTTATTTATTGCCGCAACTGACATTGTAGACGGCCGTTTGTGTTATTCGAAACCAATTGGACAAATTGGTCGCAAAATATTTATTCTTTTGCAGCATTGTAAAAAAAACTGGAAATAAACATGAAAAGCAACACCCTATGACTGCTTAATAAACAACTAAGACTTCTGAAACGCAAAACATATCAATTAAGAGGCTAAACCATCATGTGATATTTGTAAAAATACGTATATGAATTCATTTTAACTGAAATACGAATGCCTAATTTAAATAAATCAACATTACACAAGCAGGGGTCATTAACCTGAGAGTATAATCGGCAGGTTTGCTGGTGGGAATTGTTATTTAAATTATGCAACAACATCCATAAATATAGAAAGGTGAAGCGATGACCGCCAACAAATCAAAAACTTTTGCTCTTGGACGACCCCACCGGGTGTGTGGTTGTAGTGCTTCAAGATTGCTGGGCTTTGTTTTTGTCCTGTTTTTTGTTTGTACCTGCTGCAAAGCTCGCACACAAGTGGGCTTATCATCCATCGTCCACATGGACAAAAACTAAATACTAAATACAGTGCTAGCTGACGTCAAAAGTTGCTTTTGAGATTAAGAAAGGCGACAAAAGAAATGCCCTATGAGGTGAAAGTGATGAATGTCTTAGAACAACTGGTGATTAATTATTTTAAAACCTCTAATTGTAAACTATTTTAATTTCTATAACTAAAATATAAATAATTCGAATAGTTAGAAGAAAATAACTTGCATTTAAAACCTTTCAAAGCTTTAAATATACTTTGCAAAAAAAACCTAAAGAAAAACTGAAATATATAAATAAAACAAACTCTCTATATTTATCTATTTTGTAACCATAACAACTGTCTGTTTTCCTTTAATATTTTCTATCATCTATCATTTTCAACAAAAAAGCTTAAAATTTTCTACCGTTCTACTACTTCTTGTTGAGTTGTGAAAAATATTAATAACTATACCCTAATCAATTAAAAATCGCATATGTGGAAAACTGTCGGAGAAGGACAGGAAAACGCATATACTTTATATGACAATATGACTTCCAAATGACCTCCAGTGGGATGGTTGGGTGACGCCGGCGGAAATGGGCGCTCTGGGAATGGAGGAGAAGGTGGATTGCACGGGCAATTCAACTAACAAATGATAGCAAATTGTGTTAGCACCATACTATACACATGCAAACAGCACACACAGCCCATAGTCATACTATATGCATAGTCGCAGAGAAAAGCCGACTCCTGTTGTCACTTATCACTCGCACACTTACCGCCCACCGACAGGTTGACCTTGTTGGGATGAGTGTCGTCCTTAAAGGCCTGTGTCAAGGCAAAGACCTCGATGGCAGGCCCCTTTTGTACGTTGGCGTAGATAGACATCGTGGAGAACTCGACAAACAAGCCCAACGAAGCGACAAAAACAAATAAATTAATTTGGAATAGTGACGGTCGGAGGCCAAGAATAGTGTGGCTGTTTTTCGATTACTTAAATATGGTACCGGAAAAGCTCCTTTTTGGTTTTTGCCTATCGATAGGTTTGTGAGTAAGTATGCTACATATTTTTGAAAATCCGTAAAGTTTATGTAAAAACAACAATCATTAAAGTTTAGTTTTTATCTTGCACATGTATAATTAAATTTACAAATGTTATGTTTAGTATGATATTCAACGAGCATACTCAAATATGCTTTGAAATTGTAAATGTTCCTTTGGCTATTCTTATTATGGTTAATTTTTAGAAAAATGATGGCCTTATAATGTTAACAATCTTGAAGGTCATTCAAATATTTATCCAAGATATCTTCATGCGAACTTTGGACTTTGATAAATTTATTCATGGGAATATTTAATTGAATTATTTTTTAATTCTTTGAAGCTTATGTTTAGAAGCTGCAGGTGGCATTCAACCAGATATCAGTCATATAACTTTTCCCTACAACAATTTTGGTGAACGATACAGAGTTATCAGAATTCCTAGTTCAAGAACCTTGAGCCATATTGTATCACTAGAAATATTTCACACTTTGACTTTATCTTGTGTGTATAAGGAATTCGGTCCAAAATCGGCGGCACGTGTATGAAAGTGCCACTGGTCTTTATTTTTGTATATGATATCAGAAATATCAGACAAAATAAAAAACCATCCTAGAATAAACAACTTTTGAATACTCTTTAAACTAAAAAAAGCCTATGGGACTCACCAAATTCACGATAGAGTATTAATATTTAAACTTTTGAATTTCAAATAGCTGATAAGATATGGCAGGTCCAGTAATTAGCTCTGACTGGCAATATTTTTTTGCTTGTGAAAGATTTCCATTCAGACGGAGGCGTGGCTCTTCTTATCTCCACTCACCCAACGATCCGAATAATCCCAATTCTGCTAATCTAATCGAAAAGTTAAGGGGCTTTAATAATGGTTTATTTTTCTTATTTGAGAGACCGTTGCCTCAGAGTTCAAAGTTTCTGGAAAAGAATAGAATATAAAATGCAGCTTTGCGACACAAACATAAACATATAATTTTTTATTTAATATATTTAAAAATAATAAATAATTTACAATTAAATGATAGCACCATTGCGTCTACAAAGATTAACACACAATAATTAAAGATTATCTGAAAATATCACTCATACGCAACACTGTTCTGGTTGGCCTCTCCGAATGTCTGACGATAAGACTCCACAGTTTTGTTATTGCCCCAACAGCGCGTGCCGCAATATAAAAATAAAAATCTCAAAGCCCCCAATATACACGTGTGGCCATACATATATATGAGCGTATTCGTATGTATATGTTTTCAGAGCGAGACCTCTAAGTAGTAATCCAGGTGATACCGGCAATAACAAAGAGTGTAAGCTCTCTTCTCTTACTCGTCAAAATCAGCGCCGAATCTTGAATTGCGACAAACAATTTGGAGTCGTACGATTTTTTGTGACCCCGCCAGCGAGTACAAAAGGTGTAGAGACACCGGCTGTTAATACATATAATAAACTACATACAGCCGCCGCAGTGTTCGATTTGATCGAGACGTCTCCCGAACAACAACAAGCCTCTTTATTTTTTTAAAAGTTTCCACGACCGACAATCAGGAGACGCTATGATGTGATTCGCTTTTATTTTCTAGGGAATCTCTGATTTATTATTGGATGGGAATAGGAAGTTATGTAATAGAATTTTACTTTTTTATTAAATTAACAAGATTCAGTTTAACTTTTATTTATTTAGTTCATTTTATTAAACGAAGGTCATTCAAAGATATTGTTTTTGGAGACCAGCCCATTTTTGGGGGCAACGAACAGCTGTTGTGCTCCCCACGCACTACAACCTCCATTGGCTTTATTAGAAAGTTTACCCCATCGGATGACATTAATATCTCTAGGACAAAGTACGAATTTGTAGATTTATTTAATAAGCAGCCCTCCATAATCGTATCCTAAATAAAACGCCTTGAAGTAGGCAACATATTTTCTTGTCCTAGGATTATGTAACACTTAAATGTAGGCCCTTATTATAGGGTATTTTTTTAGTTTCCTAAATCTTTCATTTATTTGCAATGCCAGAGAAAAAATCATTACCGGCAGGGAGCAAGAACACGCGCAGGCGGCTGATGGAGAGATAGGGAGAATAATACTACCAGCTGAAGCTGTCGAGAGCTCTCTCGCCCCGAAATACGAACAAAACTGGTCGAAACTGCGAGACGCGGCAAATCGGCAAATGCTTCGAGTTATATTCCCCGAGACTAGGAGCTCCCACTTTTTTTTCAGTCCGACGGACAGCTTTGGATTGAACGGTTCGCGAGTTCCTGGACAAAAAAAACTACAAACCGACGGAGCAAGAAGGAAAAAGTGCTGCAACCGTTTCGACTTCGCGCTGTTCTAACCATTTACTTTCTTAAATAAAAGCCGGCAGAAAAATAAAAAAAAAACGAATATATAGAAGCTTTTTAGAAGTTTCGACACCCGACTCTCGTTTGAATAACTGCCTTAAAGTGCAACGAACGGGAGATTTCTCGGCAGGAGCACGAGGATACCTTCGTTACTAAACCAGTAAGTCAGGGGTCAGTGGTCAGTGGTCCATATCTGGTCTAGAGTCTAGACACATCATCAACCGGAACAGAGATATATTGCTTAGCTTATCGATCAAGTGCATAGGAAATTAATTGCATAATTTTTGCTCGATTTCTTCTTCCTCTGTGATGAGATGGGGGTTTTTTTTTGTCGTCCCATCCCTACCCCACTCCTGGTTCAATGTACATGTGGGCCTTTCGCTTTCGTCACTCTCTGGGGCAGACATGTGTTAATTACATTTTATTCTATTCCATATCTAACTTACCCCAACCACACACCACACACCACACACCACACTGACACACGCACAGCTAGGGAATTGTGGTGCTGGCTGTTTTATTTTTGTACACATCCTACTTTTCTCTGCTGCCCAATATTTATGACCTTCTTATGGTTTCGCTATTGGGAGAAACGTGTTTGTCGCACAGCCAGACAGACAAACATGCATAGATATGGTGGATAATTTATTCTAAAATACTTTGCATAAACTTTGAAATTAGCTTTCGATCTGCAATGGATGTCGAGATGTCTTTGAACAAAGTTTGATTTGTACATTTTTCGGAGCTGGACCCGGACTACTCAATGTCAAAGCTCCCGTCTCTATCAGCTTGATAAGGTTTAGAGTCTAGACTGTGTGCTTAACTGAATATAGAAAAGTATTTGCTTGAATGTGGATTTTTTTATGTACACAAGCTTCAAATTGTTGCTGTCAATCAAAAGGGGAAAACTGAAGGAGAATTTAAATATAATATATAAAAAAGTAAAAATAACGAAATAAAAATAAAAGCGGAAATAACTAGTCTAAGGATTTTGCACCCATGTTCTTCCCAACCTCGGTTTTTTTGCGGAAAAATCAATGCCCGACCGACCCACTTTCAAAAGCGACTTTGACCTTAGCGGCTTTACGTTCAAGATCGTTCGTCTATATAGAGCAAAAAAAAAAAACAGGCGAATCACGCACATTTCTATGGGCAAAATGTGATGAATAGGAAATCATTCGAGTGCCTATTATTATATTTATTATTATTGTAGGAAGTACGAGTAGTTAGTGAGTGGGATTATCAAGTTATTATTACATAATCGCTCATTCTGATGGACGTGCCAGTCAGGCGAGCAAACACATTGGGGCTTTTGGTTTGCTTTTCGGTCTTCATGTAGTCCCCCCGTGTCAACAGTGCTTTCGTGTAATTGCGTGAGATTAGGCAGAACCGCACCCACTTTCTTGGAGGGTAGAACCATTCAGGACACACCCAGTCAACAAAAAAAGAAGCAACAGGATAATTGATCTCCAACCAATATTTGGGGGAAAATAACTCAAATTATTCTTCGTGTCAGAGGCACTTTATCCATAACAAACTTTGATTTGAATGTGAATTATATGAACGTGTTATTTTCGCGTACCGCTAAACAATTTGTTAGACTTGCATTCGATGTTAATGCGACTTAATTTTGAAATAATCCGGTTATTATAAACCATAAATTCTAAAATGGTAAAGTCAACAGACTAGACTTTTATTAGAATATATACATATATTTGTTATCTTAGCTTTATATTTAAAGCCGATTAATCACAAGAGTCCTTTTAATTTGTGGGTCTAGAGATAAGAAAATCAAAAGCCAATGATTATTTCCGCTTAGTTTTGAGATAAGTGGTGCGTGAGTGTTTTATCTTTCCTATTTGAACTTGAACGAGGTTAGTATTTGACTTTGGGAGTAAAAACTTAATGAGTTCAGCAGATGTCTGATGGATCTGTCCTGATAAATGAACCTAGGCGACATTAATCGAACCGACATAAGAGAGATAAGAAATCTAATATGACAACTGACCTAAATCGACAACAGTCTCCAAACTTCCACATATTTACAATTTGTTTACAAAACATAGTATACACTATATTGATAATGGGGAAATCGAGCTTGCACAACACTTGCAATAACATTGGAAATAAATATTTCTTTTATGACATTCTTGACGTGGACTTATCCGCTCCTTAAGGTGACATGGTTTCCACAAATAAACGTCATATATGTAGTTTGATAAAGTTTGATTAATAACATAATCATGAAGTAATGCTGCGAAAATGAAACGTATTAATAAACTAAATAAATGTTAATCGATGGGAATTTAATTAGAGTTGATCTAACCAAAGATTTCCATCACGTTCGTCGTGACTATTAATAGACGGGTCCCCCAGGGTCCAGAACACAAGTGTCCACTCCCACCGGGAATGATAATACTTTTGCCCCGATGTGTTAATAAAACCAGCTTATCTTCCCCTCATTATCTGAACCTCATTTGTGTACAAACATCCGATACATGTGTCAACACGGGTGTTCGATTATCCATAGACTCCCTGGCCCACTGCAGGTCATGCACTTCACGTGAGGGGAAGCTACCTACCTTGTTTTTTTTATTCTAGCAAGTTGATGTAAATTTTAAAACAGGTAAACTATCTCCAAACTTGATAGCTTTCAATGAATCACCTGATGAGATGTCCCCATTTGGCAATTTAACTATAAAACTAGTTTTCCATGCACTTCAAATTCAGTCTATTTTTCGTAGACTTTGCCGGACAAGTTTCGCCGTAGACGAGCCCCCGTGAAATAGATTTAGATTTCAGCAGGGTACTCCACACGTCTGCTTTTTGAACTCGTTTGGCTCTTGAATCTAAAATGCAAAATCGTGTTTAAATCGTCTGGCCATCATAGCCGATCACTGACGCACCCTTGTACCTGTACCCGTCTCCGTCCGTATGTCCGTTTGTCCGGCTGTCCGTTTGTCCGCCTGTCCGTTTGTTTGTCTCTTCCAAAAGCCATTTGAATCGCTGATAATGAGCAAAACAAGCTAAAAGTAAGAACAAATTAAATAAACTGGACAAAAGTTATGGCATGTGCGAATAATTTTTCTAAAAGCACCGCACTGCCAATACTCTAAATATATTTGTTATTTTACGATTATTAAAAATTCCATTTGGTGTTAAAATATATTTGCCTAACTTACAAAAGCACAACAATGACTTGCTAAATAAAAATAATTAAGTTATTTTCCCTTTAACTGCCATACCATCTGGTGCTGGGATTGAAGGTATTTTTCCCTTTAACTGCCATACCTTCTGGTGATCGTTAAACGTTCTGAGCTTCGAATGTGTGAATATTATTAAGTGTTAGAATAAATATTTGCCAACCTGTTACTTTACCTTCTATTGTGAGGTATAATAGATAGTTTCAATGTTTCAATTAGGGATATTTTACCGGCATTATTATTTAAAATGCCTACCTATTTGCCTACTTAGACACAAAACTAAAAAAAAAAACAATAACAAGCGGCTATACAATTCTACAAGTTTGTCGGGCATTTGTTTAAACCCGCTTTGGATTTCGATCACGTGAGTCAACTCACTTATTGTTCGAATTAATGAGCAGACAGATTGTTATTTATATGGAATAACACCGAGGCAGTAAAAAATCATTGGACTTTGTACTGAATATAAAGCTTGGATTAGGAACTCTAGGCGTGATGGAGATAATACTCACTATTTTCACTAGATTTTTTAAACAAAAATTAAAAAAAAAATAAATAACAGCTGCAATTAGAACAATTTTAGGCCGAGACCTTCCATCAACGCTTGTTTGTTCGCTTTTTTGAAAGTAGAGTCGATAACCTTAAGGCATTTGGAAATCGAGCATTCGAAATTAGCAGATAATTGAAGCGTTAAATGCAATCTCTCGATCGTTGAGCACAGCAGGCAATACTTTACCCCTTCTTTACCTATGTGTCATATAAATTTCGAGTTTTATTTTGTAGGTTTTTGAAAAATAATGATATTTGATAATTTAATAAAATGATTTAAAATATATTCCCTTTCAATGCATCTTTTTTCAGCTAAATCCTAGTCCCTGGGGTCACCACCATGTTCATTCCAGCCGCACAGTCTGCGTACAGGACGCTGCGCAAGACGCAGCCACGCGTTGGACTTTACTACCTCTTCAAGAATGGCTATTCCAGCAAGGTAAGACTACTTCGTCTCCCCAGACCAGAGTTGAATTATAATTAAAATGATCTTACCAGGTGGAGTACAAGCCCATCCGGTCTGTCCTGGTGGCCAATCGAGGCGAGATCGCCATCCGCGTGTTCCGTGCCTGCACAGAACTGGGCATCAAGTCGGTTGCCGTCTACTCCGAGCAGGACAAGATGCACATGCACCGACAAAAGGCCGACGAATCGTACATGGTGGGCAAGGGTCTTCCACCGGTGGAGGCCTACCTCAGCATTCCAGAAATTATCCGTGTGTGCAAGGAGAACGACATTGACGCAGTTCACCCGGGCTATGGTTTCCTTTCCGAGCGCAGTGATTTCGCCCAGGCGGTGATTGATGCCGGGCTTCGTTTCATTGGACCCTCGCCGAAGGTTGTCCAGAACATGGGAGACAAGGTGGCAGCCCGTGTGGCCGCCATTGAGGCCGGCGTACCCATTGTCCCTGGTACAGATGGCCCCGTGACCTCCAAGGAGGAAGCTCTGGAGTTCTGCAAGAAGAACGGCCTCCCTGTGATCTTCAAGGCTGCCTACGGCGGCGGCGGACGTGGCATGCGTGTGGTCCGCAAAATGGAGGAAGTGGAGGAGAACTTCGAGCGTGCCAGTTCCGAGGCAAAGTCTGCCTTTGGCAACGGTGCCATGTTCATCGAGAAGTTCATCGAGCGTCCACGTCACATTGAAGTTCAGCTGCTGGGTGACAAGGCCGGAAACGTGGTGCACCTGTACGAGCGCGACTGCTCCGTGCAGCGTCGCCACCAGAAGGTCGTGGAGATTGCCCCTGCTCCCAGACTGCCCCCAGAAATCCGTGATAAAATGACCGAAGCCGCTGTGCGATTGGCCAAGCACGTGGGCTACGAAAACGCCGGAACTGTGGAGTTCCTCTGCGACGAATCCTGTGGAAACTTCTACTTCATCGAAGTGAACGCTCGCCTGCAGGTGGAGCACACCGTCACCGAGGAGATCACGGGCATCGATTTGGTTCAGTCGCAGATCCGCATTGCCGAAGGAATGACTCTGCCCGAGTTGGGATACACTCAGGACAAAATCCAGCCCAGAGGCTATGCTATCCAGTGCCGTGTCACCACTGAGGATCCAGCCAATGATTTCCAGCCCAACACCGGTCGCCTGGAGGTGTTCCGTTCCGGCGAAGGTATGGGTATCCGTTTGGACAGCGCTTCTGCCTATGCTGGCGCCATCATCTCGCCCTACTACGACTCCCTGCTGGTCAAGGTGATCTCCCATGCCAGCGATTTGCAGAGCTCCGCCTCCAAGATGAACCGTGCCCTTCGCGAGTTCCGTATTCGCGGAGTGAAGACCAACATCCCGTTCCTGCTTAACGTGCTGGAGAACCAGAAATTCCTGCACGGCGTCTTGGATACCTACTTCATTGACGAGCATCCCCAGCTGTTCAAGTTCAGACCAACCCTGAATCGTGCCCAGAAGCTGCTGAATTACCTGGGCGAGGTACTGGTAAACGGTGCCCAAACCCCACTGGCCACCACTCTGAAGCCGGCTGTTGTTACTCCCCATGTGCCTGAGGTTCCACTGGGTAAGTTCCGATTATTTTGTTCAAAGATTATGGCATGTGCTTTTCGGGTTCCCGCTTGCTTTTGTGATAACCCCTGCGGTTTATACCGATTTTTGAAGATCTATCAGGATATGATATTCCTGACTACTTTTTGGAGGTCTTTGAGAGAAGCTTAACAGATTAAAGAGTCATATTTAAGTTTTCAATTATATTTTAAATAATTTAAACACTTAAATACTGAATTTGTATCTTCAAAAGCTTCGTTTCAAAAGACCCCAATCAAGATCCATTGAAAACCTTTCCAGAGGCATGATTATATTCCCTGCGCATCTTTTGTGAATCGTTTTTTTAGCTTTTATGATCTGCTTTAATCAAAATTTATGTTTCTTTTAAAACTATTTTCAATTTTTGTTGCATCTGTTATTAATTAATTAAAAATATTGAATCGCAAACGCGATATCAAATCAACAACAAAAAAACACAATATCAACATCACACACCTATGTATCAACTCCAATAAAAAACCAACAACAACGATTCAAAACGCACCACAACACGCCCACCAACAAATTCCACCGACCACGCCCACCTCCGCCTCGTTCATACGCGACACGTTCTCATGATCTTTTCGAAATCATAAACAACGAATCCGATAGACCTGTCGCCGGAAGCATTAGAACGTGAAGAGCGCGGCGAGGCCAAAGGTACGTTTTATGTTGCAGTTATCCTTATGTATCCTAGATTTGGGAAATCGAGAAAGTATCCATACTCATACAGGACATTTGTACATACGATCATTGATGACATTAATATGTTATGTGGTTTGGGCTAACAAACCCCGATATCTGAAAGCCAAAATTTAAATGGGTGTGGATCTAATACAGTTTATATTATTGGTAACATCATGTATTAAACCTTTGTCATTTATTTTTATTGCTTGGGATTAAAGTTAATTACATTTAGAATATTTAACACACGAATTAAGTAATTAATTTGTTTTTTTATAAAGCAGCTTTTTGGTTTTAGCAGCTAAGCCCGCCGCTTTTGATGTATTACTGTTTTTGTTTTTTGGGTTATCTAGTTTAAATAATAATTGTAATTATGTTGGTCCAAGGATTAAGGACATAATCCTGCTTTCTAGCGACCTATTACATAAGAGAATAATACTTACTTTGGTTTTCTTATGATGCGTACAGTGACGGAGCCACCAAAGGGTTTGCGTGAAATCCTGGTGACAAAAGGCCCCGAGGCCTTTGCCAAGGAGGTACGCTCCCAGAAAAACCTTCTGCTCATGGACACCACTTTCCGTGACGCCCACCAGTCGCTTCTGGCCACCCGTGTCCGATCCCACGACTTGCTCAAGATCTCTCCGTACGTGGCCCACAAGTTCAACAATCTGTACTCGCTGGAGAACTGGGGCGGTGCCACCTTCGATGTCGCTCTCCGATTCCTGCACGAGTGCCCGTGGGAGCGGCTGGAGGAGATGCGTAAGCGTATTCCCAACATTCCCTTCCAGATGCTGTTGCGCGGAGCCAATGCCGTTGGCTACACCAGTTACCCGGATAATGTGGTCTACAAGTTCTGCGAGCTGGCGGTAAGAGGATCCTATAAGCTTTTCTAAGTGGGGTACTGATTTTGTTTAAATAGGTCCAAACTGGCATGGACATCTTCCGTGTGTTCGACTCCCTGAACTACCTGCCTAACTTGATCCTCGGCATGGATGCCGCTGGAAAGGCGGGAGGTGTGGTTGAGGCTGCCATCTCCTATACCGGCGATGTTGGTGATCCCACGCGTACCAAGTACGATCTGAAGTACTACACTAATCTGGCCGATGAGCTGGTCAAGGCTGGAACTCACGTTCTCTGCATCAAGGACATGGCTGGTTTGCTCAAGCCCGAGTCTGCAAGGTATGTATCAGGCAAACCCTATCCTATCCTATCCGGAATATTTTCTAGATTTTTATTGTTCCAGACTGCTCGTCACTGCCATCCGCGACAAACACCCCGATGTGCCAATCCATATTCACACTCATGACACCTCCGGTGCGGGCGTAGCCTCCATGCTGGCCTGTGCCCAGGCTGGTGCCGATGTTGTGGACGTGGCCGTTGATTCCATGAGCGGCATGACCTCACAGCCTAGTATGGGTGCCGTTGTGGCTTCCCTGCAGGGCACACCCCTGGACACCAACATCGACCTTCGCACGGTGTCTGAGTACTCTGCCTACTGGGAGCAGACACGCACCCTTTACGGTCCATTCGAGTGCACCACAACGATGCGTTCCGGCAACGCCGATGTCTACCTCAACGAGATCCCCGGCGGGCAGTACACCAACCTCCAGTTCCAGGCCTTCTCTCTGGGTCTGGGAGACTTCTTTGAGGACGTGAAGAAGGCCTACCGGGAGGCCAATCTTCTCCTCGGTGACATCATCAAGGTGACGCCATCGTCAAAGGTTGTTGGAGATCTGGCCCAGTTTATGGTGCAAAACAGTCTGACCGCCGATCAGGTGCTGGAGAAGGCCGAGGAGTTGTCATTCCCCAAGTCTGTGGTTGAGTATCTGCAGGGATCCATTGGTATTCCCCACGGTGGCTTCCCCGAGCCGCTGCGCTCTCGCGTTCTTAAGGACATGCCGCGCATTGAGGGACGTCCCGGAGAACAGCTAGAACCTTTGGACTTGGATAAGCTGAAGAAGGATCTTAAGGAATCTCACAGCAGCATCACAGATCGCGATGTCATGTCGGCGGCACTCTACCCCCAGGTTACCAACGAATACCTGGTCTTCCGCGACCGTTACGGTCCCGTGGACAAGCTGGACACGCGCATCTTCCTCACTGGTCCGAAGGTAGGCGAGGAGTTTGATGTATCTCTCGAGAAGGGCAAGACGCTGAGCGTTAAGGCTTTGGCCGTATCTGCCGATCTTAAGCCCAATGGCATTCGAGAGGTCTTCTTTGAGCTTAACGGACAGCTGAGAGCGGTTCACATCTTGGACAAGGAGGCAGTAAAGGTAAGTTCGGCAGCTGGGGATTTTGAAGCTTTCAATAATTTCAATAATCATATTTTCTGCAGGAAATCCATGTACATCCCAAGGCCAACAAGGCGAACAAGAGTGAAGTGGGCGCCCCCATGCCCGGTACAGTCATCGACATCCGTGTCAACGTTGGCGACAAGGTTGAGAAGGGTCAGCCCCTGGTGGTGCTGTCCGCCATGAAAATGGAGATGGTGGTGCAGGCACCCGTTGCCGGTGTTGTCAAGAAGCTGGAGATTGCCAACGGCACGAAGCTGGAGGGCGACGATCTGATCATGATCATCGAGTAAGCCTCCGAAACAACGAGGTGAACAATGTCCAAGCTGCCAGCGCACACCTTATGTAAATTAAGTCTAACAGTGATAATCTTAGGAATTCTGTCAGGGAAACAGACCCGAAAATTGCTCCTTCGCAATTTCCATATTTTGTTAAAATTGTTACGTGAAAGCTCAGGCTTTCCGCTCCCGCAGGCTTTCCGTGCTCGGTTCCCATTTCGACTTCATATGTAATTTAATTATAAATTTTGTGATTTATGTATAAACCATTTTTTTGTCAAAATGTAATTGATTTGAGTTATGGGAAACGGGTACAGATTTTTATATGTATATGTATGTGTTATATGTATTAATGAAAGAGCTTCGAATGTCCTGGGAGTCCTGTCTTCACGTACACAAGCCACAAACTCAAATTTGAATCAAATTTTATACCATTTTGGAATTTTTAATTCGCGAAAACCCTTTGCAGAGGTGTTCCCTCCGTCAGTACGTATGTAAGTGGTTATAAATGTTATATTAACTATTTGTCTAATAAATGTTAAAACAAAAAATTAGAAAGTAAATCGTTTTTACAGCACAAAAACTTGCAAATCAAATTGATGAAGGTATCCCGCTCAAGGATCGGATAGAAATTGGCCAAGATATGGACTTGGCTGTGGGCCAAAATGGGAATTCTGGATTTTACAAGGGGTACCATCAGAAAAATTTGAAAAATCTGGGTCGAAAATTTTGTTTCGAGGTTTTGATGCAGATTTGAAGAGAATGGAGCTACAAATCGATCAAGGTACTCCGCTCAAGGATCGGATAGAAATTGGCCAAGATATGGACTTGGCTGTGGGCCAAAATGGGAATTCTGGATTTTACAAGGGGTACCATCAGAAAATTTGAAAAATCTGGGTCGAAAATTTTGTTTTGAGGTTTTGATGCAGATTGAAAGAGAATGGAGCTACAAATCGATCAAGGTATCCCTCTCAAGGATCGGATAGAAATTGGCCAAGATATGGACTTGGTTGTGGGCCAAAATGGGAATTCTGGATTTTACAAGGGGTACCATCAGAAAATTTGAAAAATCTGGATCAAAACAATGGAAACAAAAGGATGTTTTGTTTAACACTTTTTTAAATAATTTGAATTTTTAAGGTATTATGTATATGTAAGTAAATTTTATTTTCTTAAAAATAATTAAAAAGAATTATTTTAAAACTAGTTAAAATATTGTCACACCCTACATGCACTTCACGATAAACTCTAAAAAGGCCAATTCCTTGTTCAGCTCGGTGACCCTCTTGAAGTGTCTCTGGACATAGGGTGTCAAGACCTCAACCATGTTGCCATTATTGTAAAAGCGTGCTTTCGGATCATGCAGAGCGTCGCCAATCAGATGCCTGAGAATGAGGTTGCCCACCTGCGAGTGCCGAGAGTTTGTGGTCCAGGCCTTCACATGCTGGAGCAGCGCCACACGCTGGTCCACGTTCAACTGGTCCACTAGCTGGCGGAGACCATCATCATCCCTCTCCCGGACAAAGTGGTTGATGATATCGTAGCTGGCTTTCGGTTTGTCCAGGTTCAGGGCCAACACAAACGCCTTATGGAGCTGCTTCTGGGCATGGAGTAAAGAGTGGAGTGTCTGCTCTTGCTCTAAGGTGGCCTGGCGCTGATCAAGAGCCTCGTTACGCGTGGCCTGGGTCACATCCCCAAAGCGTATTAACTTTGAATCGGCTCCGCCGGTGTAGAAGAATCTATTACTCCTTCCGGAAACGGCCAGAGCCCAAATCCTGTCATTGTGCTCATCTAGGGATTGCAGGCACGTGTTGGTCTTGATGTTCCACAGCTTCAGCAAGCCATCCGATGCGGCGGAGAGGATGAACTTGCCGTGATCCAGAAACTCGGCTCTGAGCACGGTGCATTCCTGATCGAATCGCTTTAGGCAGGCAAAGTTGCTGAGCGACCAAAGGCGCAGGGTGCAGTCGGAGGAGGAGGTGAGTACGATTTGATCCACTGGGGAGAAGCGGACACTCCAAACTCCTCGGGTGTGTCCCCGAAGAATGCCCTGCAGAGAATTGGAATCTGATAGCCAAATTTTTGCTGTTTTGTCCTGCGAGGCCGTTGCTATGAGCTTATTGTTCGGCGCATAGGCCACACAGTTGACCTCCTTGTCGTGGGAGAGTGCTGCATAACGCAGATTGAAGGAGTATGCATTGCGATCCTGCTTGTCCCTGGCCAACTGCCATACCTTCATGCTGCCATCTTGGCTTACAGAGGCAAATCCTGTGGCTCCGTTGTGAGTCATGGCCACGCACCCAATGGTTGATGTGTGGCAGTTGTCTTGCTGCAATAACGGCTCCAAAGAGCACTCCTGATCATGTCGCAGTCTCCACAGCCGGACGCTGCAGTCCTTCCCCACGGAAATCAACAGATTTTGGGAGGCTGCCAATGACATGACCGTGTCCGTGTGTCCCACAATCAGTTGGCAATTCATATCCCGTTCCGTGTCATATAATTTGAAGTGTTTGCTGTTGGTAGCCACGGCCAGGTAGCGATCGTTGTCGCCCATGAAGCACATGTCCAGAATCTCGTCATTGTTGCCCACCAGCTGCTTAATGGGGCTTAGATTTTCTGCATCGTATATCAATATATTCTGCTCACTTGTGACCAAGGCCAGTTGCTTTAGTTCTCTGCAGTTTAGAAGACGACTTATTTGAAAGTCCGTCTGCGACAGAAGTTCTCGAATACGCCAAGTCTTGCCGTCTACCTCCAATAGCTTTCCAGATCCACTGGCAGCAATTATTTTTCGGCCCTCGTCTGCGAATATAACGCCTTCCAGCTCTTCGAAGAGGGGCAGAACCTTGAGCTGCTTACTTTCGAGCTTCTGGTCCTCCAGTTCCCAAACGATTACAACCTTGTCCCGGCTTACAGTAACAAGTTCATTGCAGTCTGCTTCGGTGTTCTTGAAGCTTATGCCAGTGACCATGGAGATGTGTCCTCGCATCTTGTGCAGCAGCTTTTTAGTCTGGTAGTTCCAAACATAAATCGTGTTATCTGCGCATACGGCATATATCTCCCGACGCAGTACGTTGGGATGAAATACCAGTAGCCAAGCGGGTCCCGGGAAATCTTTCAGAGCGCCAACACAGCTGTTATTCGAAAAATCCCATAGCCTCAGCGTGGCGTCAGCTCCTCCGCTTGTGCAGATTATGCTTCCACAAGGGCTAAACTCAATGCGGATTACAGGACCTTTGTGCTGCGCCTTCCAAAGCTTCACCAGCTTTCCGGAGGCTAGTTCCCACAGCCGAAGAAGCCCACTTCGGTGGGCAGTAACCAAATGCTCGTGGGATACAGCAAAGCAGGTAATCGTGTCCTCCTCCACATCGATGTTATCCAGTTCGACGGGTTTCTTAGTGTCAGCCGCCGAAGTCGAGGAGTTGCTATTCACACCGAAGCTTTTCTGAATCAGTGAAGTCTGCACAGCAACCTGATGCACTGAGGCTCCATTCAGGCAATAAAAATACTGGCCATCCGCGCTCCATGTGATATCGCCACCGGCATAAAAGTTCGAATAGCGCGCTTCCGCCGCATAGCTATAAAAAGTAGACAGGTATTAATTTAGATTATAGGTTTTAACTTCACACTCACCTTTTTTCGCAAACTGTCGCAAGCATGTTCTTTTAGATGTTTGTAAATATAAATAAGAACCGCGTGTTAAAAAACATCGAGTGTCGATAAACGCCGATGTTTCCTATTTAGATCTTCGATATCTCAAATCGATATGATTAGTGATGTTCAACAACTTTTTAGAGAAAGCAACTGTTGCAGTCCCCTATCGATAGGTGGCACTGTTTTTCCCATCTCTAGCCAAGAAAAAGCCGTCAAATCATCCTCTGCTCACATTTAAACTAACATTTGCTTTTTGTATTTAAATTCCAATTAAATCTCCAATATGAGTACTATTGGCACCGGTGTAAGTGAACGCGAAGCGTTTTTTGCCAAACAAATTTTAATAATTCGCATTTAATTTGTTTTTGCAGTACGACTTGTCGGCCTCACAATTCTCGCCGGACGGTCGGGTCTTCCAGATCGACTATGCATCCAAGGCGGTGGAGAAGAGTGGCACTGTGATCGGTTTGCGAGGCAAAGACTGCGTGGTACTAGCTGTGGAGAAGATTATCTTCAGCAAGTTGTACGAGGAGGACGCAGCCGGACGCATTTTCACCATTGAAAAGAATATTGGAATGGCTGTAGCGGGTCTGGTGGCCGATGGAAATTATGTGGCGGACATTGCTCGCCAGGAAGCGGCCAACTTTCGGCAGCAGTTCGAGCATGCCATCCCGCTAAAGCACCTCTGTGAACGGGTTGCTGGGTACGTTCATGCCTACACTCTGTACAGTGCCGTCCGACCATTCGGACTTTCAATCATATTTGCCTCTTGGGATGAGGTGGAAGGCCCCCAGCTTTACAAAATTGAGCCCTCCGGTTCCTCCTTTGGCTACTATGCTTGCGCCAGTGGAAAAGCAAAGCAACAGGCCAAGACAGAGATGGAGAAGTTAAAGCCCAACATGGAAACGGAAGAGCTTATAAAAAGTGCGGGTGAAATGTAAGTTTTTTTTCTGGTAGTTTCTGGTGGCCGTTTCTTACATACTTTGTTTTTACTTTTAGCATCTACAAGGTCCATGACGATCTGAAGGACAAGGACTTCCGATTTGAAATGGGTCTTGTGGGCAGGGATACAAATGGCCTGCATCGCATTAATCCTGCCGATTATACCGAGATGGCGAGGAATGCTGGAGATGCCGCCAGAAAGGAAGACGACAGCGATAATGAGACTCATTAATCAATTCTGGCAGTGAATCTAATTCTGGGCCTAAACATATTACATTAATTTTATATTCCCGTAAAGCGCAAAATGTATGCAGAGATCTGGTTTGAAATTTGGTTTTTTATTTTTCACCGAGCTTTTCGATCAGGGTCCACTCATAGGTTCAGGCTTACAAAATAAAGACGTCGATATCGCTTGGTGGCTTACACCGAAGATTTCGTCTGCTAGTTCCCGCCCAGCAAGGTGGATATGGGCTTGACTACAGGAGGCCAAGAAACTAGCAAGTTCTTCCGAGACTCCGATCTCTTTGAGATTCACAAATAGCAAGGTACTTCCCGGCAATTTCAAAATTCGCCCCATAAATTATGTAAGACTTGCCACCAAATAAGAGAAGTATGAGGTATAAGCTCAGCCAGATTCTGAAATGTAGCGTTCTTTAATCTATTGAAATAATGAACGGCTCCTAAAAAATATGTAATGTAAATATTTCCGCGTTTTTCAACCCTGTCGAAATTTTAGGACGATCCGATAGCGCTGTAAAAAATTTGTGGCAACACTAAACAGCTGATTTTACTTGGCGCCATTAGTAGCTACTTCCGATTCAGAGGAACTACTTAAATTTGTAAACAACGAGTATTTTTAACAGAAATGACGACGTTAATTGAACAGTTAATTGCTAAACTGGGCTTAAGGGATGAACCCAATGTGCTAGAGTAAGTATTCCCCATAATCTGCAGAAATGAGCAAAGGATAACCAATTCCTTTTCAGGAAAACCACTGAATTGGTGCGCCTGCTGGATTTGCGATCCACCAATGTCCCTTTGAATGTTAATGAATATGGAAAGATTGTTCTGTGCGCAGACCTCGCCTCAAACCTTTTAGGTATTGGCTTCGACAAAGAGCAGGCCTTGAAAATATCTATGCTCCGCAAGACCCACTACCTGAACCACAAACGCATGTTTGAGAAGCTGTTGGACCTAAACAAGCTGGCCAGCGTGAAAGACATTTGCGTGCAGTTAAATCTAAATGAGGTTTCTCGCAAAGCTGAAGAGCTTATGACACTTTTCAAGGCACTGGCGGCCACCCAGGACACTGACATCGACACTAATCATCCCCAGTACGCGGCAATCGCCGTGTTTCATGCTTGCCGATTGCTCAAGACAAAAGTGTCCAAGACGAAACTAATGCCCTTTAGTAATCTAAGGCCCACCCAGTGGCAGCAGCTCGAACATCAGTGGGAGCGCATGATCACCAAACACTACAAGGAGAACAAAGTTGCCTCTGCCTCAGATTTGGAGGGAAAACTTAAGCAAAGCCAGCAGGAGAACATCATTGGGCAAGAGTCTAAAAAACCATTAAAGCCACAGGTAGAGGATTACGAAAAATGGAAGGCAAGAATGCTGGCAACGGCAGAAGCTAAACTAATAGAAATGGAAGCTATGGAAGAAATGGAAGCGTAGACCAAACATGTATCCCTAGGCCATTTAAAACCCAGTTCATCTTTTATTATATAAAACATTCTCATTACGTTTAAGTAAAATTTATAAAAAACTCTTCAAAAATTAAATTCGTATTCGTAAAAATGCCGTTCGAACTTAGTACTTTTTATCTATGGTTAACATTTTGTCAATTACTTTGGTTTGGTTCTTCATATGAGCTATAAGTAAATCCCCAATATCAACAAGATCGCCGTTCCCATCATGGGCATTGTAGACTAGAAGGTCTACCTCATTACGGGTTTCTGGCCATGTTTTGATGAGATCCTTTAAATGCTTACAGAACTTAAGCCAAATTTCGCGTTGAAGTTCCTTCATTTGCCAAGTGGCTGACAGATTGGACTGCATGGAATCGAAGAAGGACAACATTGGTGTGGCACCTTCCATGGCAAAGTAATATGTTTTTCCGTTGATCATTTTAGTAAGACGGTAAACGTCGTGCTTGAAAGGACGATAGACGCCAGCTCGGTTAAGGTGTCTAGTCTCTAAGGGCTGCATATCGAATTTTTTGATGTTAACTAATGAATTTAATGTGAAACTATGGCATATTACCTTGGCTTTCTGCAACAAAGGACTCTCCAGAACCTTATTGACGAACATTTCATCGGGAATAAGGATGATCAGGCGGTCCACACCAAACGTGATGTTGTTCTCGGCCTGGATGGGAATGAATTATTTATAAATGAAACTAAAACCATTCAAAGAATTCAAACTCTTACCTCGTAGACCGCCATGCGATGTTTGATTCCATCGTTGTTGCTTTCGGGCAATACCAATTTCAGGTAACCATGAAAGTAATTCGACGCCATGCCTGCCGCATAGTCCAGGCCGTGATCTTCCCGGATCCAGTGAGAGTAGGTTAGCGTGCTCCGGCTTAAATCGAAGAAGAACCAGTACATCGGAATTTGGGCCAAATAGAGAGCGGTAGGAATAACGACCCTAAAATCTCCAGTAACTGAAATTCGGGACAGACCCGCGATGACGAATGCCATAGCCAGATAGACATGTTTGCTTTCGTAGGTGCACCCACGACGTAAAATCGTCCATAATCGATCTTCCGGTAGATAATACCGGCTATAGCGGATATATTCTACGGCACAGCGGAACAATCGCAGCAGGAAATCGGCGAGGAAAACGGTAGCCGCAACTCGAATCGAGACATCTGGGTCGAATCATGATTTATGGGTTATAGTTGCTTATCTGTTACCGATCGTGTTATCACTAACCTGCATAGTCACCCAGCATTTTCAAATAGTACCATTTCCTGCTTTTTACCGTCCTGACAGCTCCATTGGCAACCTCCTCGTCTTGATTATATTGCGAATTTTTTGGAACTGCCATTATTTCCAGATAGTGCGAACCAGGGCTGCCAGATCAGTTAACAAAAGCTTCTTTTCAATTTCATTAAAGCACAGTGGGAAAAATATCAGTTTTGGGAAACAGATCAATAAAACTGATATTAAAAATTGTCAAATTCAAAAAAGGTTACGGTTACCAGTTAAAAAAAGTGTCTAGTTTTATACATAAATATATATGTATTTAGAAAAAAAAAGTATAATGAAATCTTCGAATACTGCACAGCAAATTCTTGCCATCCGATCCCCCCAATTTGGAATCGTTTTATAAATCTCAAAATAAAGTATATGTATTTACATATGTCAGTATATGTGTATAATTGTATGCCTGTGCTTGTTGGAATGGATTAATATCACTCCAAACATTGAATGAATGAATGTGTTTGTATTTCTTATCCGTATTTATTCTTAGAAAAGCATGCATGTAGAATTCAATACTGCAAGCTGATGCAGAAATAATTTAAGATTAATAAAAAATAATAATAGATGCGTATAGAATAGGCCCGACTTGTGTCAATCAATAGCCCAACCCAATGGTGGAGATATGCGATTTTTATTACTATTCCCGATCTGAATTCGTAAAAGTTCATTATCGTGCAATAAAAATTTTATTATTGACACTTTTATATTTGTTTTTCTTTTGCTGCACTGAATTTTAAATTGGCTTAAGGCCTTTGAGTTTTGAATAAAGTGAAGTGGAATAAATAAGGTGGAATATTAAGGAAAAGGTTTATAATTTAATGTGCTTACCTTTTTGAGTTTAAGGATACGAGCTGACTGATCCCAGCTTTGAAAAACGACTAAGCTTCTTGAGGCACTTGGAGAGAATTTATATCACACGATATTTGATATTTATGCAAATTTGTATTTCAATTTGATCAAAACAGAATGAGTAAGATCAGAGATTTCATAGCTTACTGGCAAGATCTTGATGTGATTTCCCTATCTTTATCTGATTTAACCATTAATATATATTATTTAAATCAAACAACAAGAGGACCCCTTTGGTTTATTTAAAAAATCTCTTGCCTTCAGCTATGAAATGTCTCAAAACTAGTATTTTGGTATTAATTACCTCAGACTTTAATAATTATATTTGTGTATGAAAATATAATTAATTCCAGTTGAACATTTAAAGGCTGTGCTTTATATTAATAGGATTCAATTTAATTGATAATTTAAAATGTTTTTAACAAAAATTCAAACAAGTTAGTATTTTTGGGGGAAAGATCAGCGCCACCTGGTCCCACTATTATAACGATCAAAGATTTAAGTTGGATTCAAATTCAAATTTTAATTATATTTAATATTTTTAAAGTATCTTGCTCTAAAACTCGTCCTAATGAATAAAGTTTCAACTCGATTCGTGTTTTGTCTTTTCTTTTTTAAAATAATGCATTCTACGGAGTTGAAAAAACGTTTCTGAGTTGACGGAGAAGCAAAAAAAGAAACTGTCAAAGCCAGGGCAAGTACTTAATTAACCTGTCTCTTTTGTAGCAATTAGTGACGCTTTTTATTTTAGGATGAGGATGGATTGAAAAAATGGAATGTGATGAAATCAAACACAATCTGCAGTATCCAATTAAAGTTCCCTCTCGAGTTGAGGAATGCAAACTTTAACTCATTAACTAAATTACATGAAGATTTTCTCTCGCCAGCAGGACCTTAAAATTTGCTGACAATTTTAATGTTATTGTTAAGATGATTAAGAATAAATAACAAGACAAGAGCCCCATGCGTTTCCCACTGAGATATTTATTAAGGCAAGGCCTCGTGCTTGGGCAATTAAATATGAAAATACCTCTGAAACGGTTGACTTTGCAAGGAGGTGCAATTTCGGCTGGCTTTATGTAAATAGTCATTTAATATGTCGGCCCAGCGCAGAGGATTTAATTTGCGAGACAACTGAAGGCATGCACTTAATTAAAGCTAGCTTTTTGGCAAAACAAGCTGACTTGCATGTCGTATTCGAAGCAATTCCGTCAAAGGTCCCACCTGTATGTATGAAATTTCACCGAATAGAATATCCGGGCTGCCATTAGGCAAATACCAGCTGAGCCAGGGGCATGGACCAGAACCTATACAAGGCTGTGGCATGTCAATGCTTTGTGCACTCTCGTTTGAGTCTAAATTACAGGCATTGCTCACGCGTTCTGTATAATTAAAGGGGCACCCCCATAGCTCACCTCCCACGTACGCATTAACTTTAATTGCCACCGGTGCCGGAAACTTTTAATTTTGTTAAGCGTAAATTTCCCATATACATTTGCCACCTGCTCGATGGTTAGAAAAGAAATGGCCTGACATGCAGCACGTTTAATTTGTTTACACAAATCTTGCTCAAATGCCAGCCACCGCCACCAGCCACCAACCACCAGAGGATGAATTCCTCGGCTGTTTGACGACTGAGCCCAAAAGAATAAAAAAAAAGAAAAGTGTAACAACTTTGAGTGCTCGCGCTCTCCTGCGGAGGAACTTTCCAGCGAGTCCTGCGAGTGTGTAACAATTAAACTGCAGCTAAAAATAGTGACTAATGAGAAAAGTTTTCAACAACGGCTGTAAAAAATAAAGGCAACCGAACTACGCAACTTACTCCACTGAACCGAACCGAACTCTCCAGCCAGGCCAAGCCAGGCGAGGCCAGGCCGAGTGTTTGAGTTCCACAACTTTTTCTATTTTGTATTGAATTTTCTGGCGTGTCGAGGCACAATTTGCAGCCATTAATGCCGGGGATCAGCCATCCAAGTGGATGGAGCGTGTCAGCCATAAAGGGAATTGCAATCCGACCAAGACAATGAAACTCTAGCCATCATATCACACTTTTATAGCCCCAAAGACGGGAGCCATAGGAAAACTTTTGCGAAAAGTTGTTGTTTTTCTTTGATAAGGAAAATCTTTTTCAAGTATTTACGATAGTATGCAAAAAAAAAAAAATACATTATTTTCGCTGTCACAGTTTATTTAGTTAATCATGATCAAAATCAGATACAAAAGGGCAAGTCTTAAGAGTCTATGGCTATAGAAGGCAGAAATATGGGTTTGTTAGTCTCTAAAATAAGTCTAGTCTAGAATCATAGAATTATCAATGAATCCTGGTAAAACCCTATGCCAGCTCTAGAAAGGTATCCTTTTAAGCCTTTCAACCTGTCATCTAACTTTAGCAGACAAAACCAAAATGGGATTCTTTCAAGCTAGTATTGGTAGATCATGCGACGTGATTATGGGTAATTTTGACCAAAGTTTCCTTCCAAATCGCTGCAGATATGATTAGGGCTGTGGGTTGTGAGATGGCCTGGCTTATGTGTTATGCTGTTGGGAGCAAAGTCACGACCACAATCGGCGGAGGCATTAGATATGCGCATACATTCAGTGGCTCGGCAAACTTTTGTTTGCCATGCAAATGCCATGTGTGTCCGGGAGTGGGAGTGGGCGGCTGTGCTGCTAACGCATAGTTAGAGACACTTGTGTGACTTGTTAGCGTAATTAAATTTATTTTGAGTGGAAGCTCGAACAACCACAGGACGGCAAATGTCAGGACAATAACAATTTAACAAGCCGTTATTCAGGCATTCGGATAACTTTCAATGTGAATGCACTCTACGGCGACATGCTCCCGGCTCAGCAGGAGGAAGTGGCCGGAGGATGTGTTTTGCTTTTCGGCCATAATGAAATAAACTTGTCACACAGTCGGCAGAAGCCATTTGCTCGATGTCCGGTGTCCCAAAACTACATCCGCCGCACACGCCCGAGGCCGAAAGGTTGGGTGTCGGATGATTTTCGATCCCGGGTGGCTGCAGCAGCAGCTGCTTTGTTTTCATTCGAAATTTAATTACGCATAGGACTTGTTTACAGATTCAGAAGTTAATCCCAGCCGACGGTCGGACGTGCACATTAACCTTAATTAAGTGACAAACAATTCCCGCCAAAGTTCGTCACGCCATCATTTTATTTACAGGCAATTGAATTTTAATGGGATTGCTCCTTTTCTAAAATTCCATCCTGACTTAGCTCGCCAGCTCCCACATCCTTGCCGGCCGGCCGGCCTCGGTTGAGAGTGTCCATTTGCATAGTTGTTGGCAGCACAACTCTTTGGCCAGCTGGCCATTATTTCGCACTCTTTGGTAATTTAATTCATTTGCAATGCCTTTGCGAATTACGGAAAAGTAAAATTTACTTTGCCATTTGCCATTTTGGCCCTGGGCCGCCTTGGCATTTTTGTTCGGTTTTGTTTGTGCCGGAGTATTTGCCCCCTAAAGTCCTTTGCGGCTAAAGGACCTGTGGTGGGCAGCCTCGAAAGCCGCAAGCCACTTTTACGTGATCCTTCCTCAGAGTCATCTTAACGCATCATTTAAGCTGAGCGGGGTGTCCTGTCCTCTGATTCTGGAATCGGGGTCAGATAACGTTTCGTCTTTGTTGCCCTTAATTAAAGATTTAATGTGCTAAGTTGTCGGGACTTTTGGCAGAAAAACTTTGCTTTAATAGCCGAGCCGAATCATTCTCGTAGGTTGTGTGCTCTGTCCATAAAATCCTCCAGCCGTCCATCCATCCATCCACCCATCCATCAATCAATCAATTACGCTTAGACGTAGGACAGGATAATAAAACGTGCTCGGGACGGAGTTTTGTCAGCAAAATTTACGATCAACTGGCACGGCCAAGTATCCCAACCAGCCCGGAAAACTCTTGAACAGTTTCATAGATTGAAAAGCATTTTCTTTTAAGCCATTTATTGGAATATTTTTGCAGTTCTACCAAAAGGCTTGAAATTTAGTTTCCAATTTTCAGCGACTTGATCAAGGGATTTTGTTTGCATTGCTTTCGATTTTCAATATTTATGACTGTTAGCCCAGTCAGTTGCATGAATATTGTAAAGAATTTCATGCAACATATTCACAAAGTATGATGCGCGGCTCTCTCCAGTGCCGTGCAAAATTGCTGGCTATTGTCCGAGTCCTGTAAATGCCGGACTAAGCTGGCAAAGCAATTATATACCTAAATGGTTTGCCCACGTCAATGGCAATTGTCTGCGATTTC